AAGAAATAAAAAATGTAAACAATAAAAAAGCCCCGGGATTTGATCTAATAACAAGAGAAATTCTGAAAAACTTGCCCCGCAAAGGACTGGTCAAATTGACAAATATTATTAACGCTACTTTTAGACTAAGACATGCGCCGGCGATCTGGAAAGTTACCGAGGTTATTATGATCCCTAAGCCTGGTAAATCTCCGAATTTGGTATCTTCATACCGACCTATATCACTGTTACCCTTAATGTCAAAGCTTTTTGAAAAACTTCTACTTAAGAGATTGCAGCCAATAATAGAAGACAAAAAACTGATTCCCAACCACCAGTTTGGATTCAGGAACAAACATTCAACCTTAGAGCAGGTTCACAGGATAACCAACATCATAGAGGACAGCTTAGAAAGGTCTGCTCCGCGGTCTTCTTGGATGTGGCGCAGGCTTTTGACAAGGTGTGGCATGCTGGTTTGATACATAAAATATCGAAACATTTCCGTAAGCAGCTTTCTGAACTACTGGAAAGCTACTAGACAGGCAGAATGTTTAAGGTAAAATTTGACAATGAGTACTCGGAACTCAAGGAAATCAACGCTGGAGTACCACAGGGTAGCGTTCTAGGACCTATCCTGTACCTCATGTTTACTAATGTCATTCCCTACCCTAAAAATGTAACCATTGCAACCTTTGCGGATGACACTGCCATACTGGCGACAGGGAAGAACACCTTAGAATCAACTAAGAAACTACAATCTGCCATTAAGACCGTCAATGAATGGACCAAGAGATGGAAAATAAAACTTAATGAGGACAAATCCGTCCTAATTAACTTTACAAATAAAAGAGTAAAATCCTTACCAGTATTTAGTTCAAAGATGTCAGAATAAAATCCTACGTAGTATTGTGAATGCACTATGCTATATCAGAGACAAGGATCTGCATAGAGACTTGGGGGATACCTACGGTGGAGGACGAGATAGGGAGAGCGGCGCGAAGCCACGAGATTAGGCTGCACGAACATACCAAACTCAGATGTTCATAAACTCATCCTATCCAAAAATATAAAGAGGAGGTTAAAACGAACCAAACCTCATGATTTAGCCTAAGTTATGGCAGTTCCAACTATACTAGGAAAGGCACTGGCTACTCCTAGGTTGCTTTTTTTTTTATATAATTAGTTAAGTAAAAATTGCTGGTTAGTCAGAAATGACTAGTTGCAGTTACTATGAAAAAAAAAAAAAAAAAATTATATGCATTCGAAATGCCCAAGATGGCAGAGTTCAGTATCGCTCTACGATTAGCCGGCAAAAATGTTTGCGCACGAACACACTTTGTTACTTCCACCATGGTTATAAGTATATAGTGTAACGTCCCCATTTTTCAGGGACGTGTCATTACGATAAGTTCAACGCTCTAGACGTACTGGATTGGTAGAGAGCTTCAATAAACGTGCCAATAGGTCTGTTCGTTTTCGCTGCACCGCTGAACTAGTGCAATAAGTTGAAGCGAGACAAGTATATGTTTTCTCACTTCAACTTATTGCACTAGTTCAGCGGTGCAGCGAAAACAAACAGACCTCATATTGTGACCGGGTGTCACTAGCTTAATCAACGTTTAATCCCACCAAACCTTGAGACGGAAAGTTTCTCACGGATCCTATTGCCCGTCCACGGTCGCCAGGGCGTTATTTTTGAGAGCTTCGCCTAAGCTCTAGGCCCGGGAAGCTGGAGGGCGGCCAAGTCTCCCCAGATACGCCTTTACTGATAGGGGATATATATATAGAGGGACTCCTTCCCTGTTAAAGTTGTCGTCCCCGAAGAAATGTTCGGATCACCGGACGCTCGCCTCAGACACTGGGTATGGGGATAGGGAAACACAAAAAATTGAACACGTACCTCGTGAGAGTATCGAAGATGAAGTCTATTTACAAAAAAAATAAAGTAATAACTAAATTTACTGACTTATTAATAAACGAATCTTATATACTTAGTTTTCTGATCTCCCGCGGTCTAAGCCGTAAAATTAAACATATATGTAAAACATAATTTCTCCACGGACCGCTACGCCGAATAAGTAAAATTATTATCCCCACGCGTCGTAGTTCGGGGATGTCTTAACTGCTGTATCTCTATCCCGACGCAATACTGTCGTCACGAACACGTCGGGACCCGATCGGGCGCGCACGGCGGGATGACAACATGCGTCGCCTACCGTACAGGGTAGCCCCTTGATCCCGCCGACGACGGGACTCTTTCTCTCTTAAAACTTGGTTGCACGGTTCCAACCACCGGTGCCGCGTTCCGAGTCGACTTTCACACCGGATGTCTCGGTTCCCAGAAAGAAAGTCTCTATTTCTACGGAAAGTTACGAGGAGGAACAGTGGCAATTTTTCAGCGCACTTATCGTCGCCAGGCGATCGGTCGTTTCCTCGCGTCTCCCTGGGCCTCCACCAGGAGATTTGCACCAGGACGTCTAAGTCAGCTTTCTCTTCCGTCAGCAACTTCTCCACTGTCACCTCGTCTGCGCAGTTAATCGCTCTTTTTTCCAATGTGCGTCCTCTCGCTTCCCGCTTCTTCACGCTACTGCGCGCCTTTCCTTCTTCTTCCGATTCCAAACCTTCTTCCCTCTCCGCGACGCTTCCAAATTCGCCGACGGCCCCCGCCAATCATCATCGCCCCTCGCATTCGTGTTCATTTCTTTCGGTGACCTTCTTCTTCTTTTGTTTTGCCGCTCCTCTCTCCGCGGCTGACCCTCCGGTTGCACTTGGTTCATTTAAGTCTGCGATATCCCTAGAGCTCCCGGTCAGCCGCGCTCCCTTACGCAGCTGAACCTCCGGTTGCAATATCAGACTACAGGTTGGAGATTGAGATTGAATTAAAAATTGACTAATCAGTGCAAAACTCACTAAATTTCACTAAACTTGAGTTTAGTTAACTTTGCATTGATTGGCCAAATTCAATTCAATTTCACTTCCAATTCGTTTCCAATCTAATACGGGCTTAACACAGCTATTTACTATTCACTATTTATTCCCTAGTGTATACGCACCTTTATGTTTACGATTGTGTTAATTCGTATGCGGAAACTCGTATGGATACAGGTAGCTGTAACAAGTAGCTGATATACAGTAATTGTCTATTTAGAATGACGTGAAATGAATGAGATATTTAATAAAATGTCCAAGGAATTTGTAACTGTTGATGGAAATGTAAAGAAGATTCAAAAGGAGAATCTGACTCCATATAAAATAGCAACTGCCATTTTAATTAGAGAATATTGTAATGAAACTACAAAAGGTATCCGCTATCCGTATGTTTTTTATATTATATACTTAATAAATATTTTATTCTCTAAAATATTTGTTACTTTAATTTATTTTTATATTGATAAAATCTAACCTAATCGAGTAATCTTTTGTAGCAATTGTGGAAAGACGTGACTTTTGTTTAGCCTCCCTAAAATTGATTCAGGTAATAATTTTTTTAATTAATTGTTGTGAAATATACTGATTAAAAATCTTGCGAATACAGAATGCCAAAAGAGAAAAAATTATTTTCATGTGTATTAATAATAATTATTTTCAGTCAGCAGACATGGAATTGAATATCTTGTTAAATTTATTATATTCTCCGGAATATGTTTTACATCGATTTGCAAAACAATTGGAAATAGAGTTAGATATTCTATGTAATAAAGGAGTTGATGGATTATTGGATCTGTTTAACAGTCTTCATCGATTAATAGAATCCAAGGAACATCCGCTTTCTTTCTCACCAACATTGAGCAGAAATTCTGTTCTTGGGCTGTATGTTCGTAGAATGCGTATTTTTTTTGAAAAATTGCCTTTTAATCAAGTGGTCGCACTTTATAATGATCTGAAAAAATATGTTGAAAGAAAAATTTGTAGTAATATTTGTAGTACTAGAGACTCTGACATCTCTATAATCTCCAAGCTAGAAGATTATGATATGAATAAGTGAGTTAACACAAACAAATATCATTTTGTACAGATTCTACATTTATACAAGATATTCTCCACTTATTTTTTATATCAACATTGATGTTACTTAGAGCGAAAACAGTCTGGGGGGGAAGACAAGCTGAATTACTTGTGGCGCAACAAGCTCATGCCTTACAAACTGACGAACATAAAGCGATGCCGCCAGCAGAACTGCAAGCTCTTGTTCAAGATCTTTTAAAGTGTAGCCCATATTATGCAGATGCCGTAAGTAATAGAACATATTCATGCATGTAAATTTATAGAATAGAGCTGAACGAAATTATTTTTTTCTCCAGCATTACTTGAGTTATTTAAATTGCATTCGTGTAAACGATTTCTGCGGTGCAGTGGACAGTCTTTATCACTGTTTCGACAGAATGGCTCCTCTGGAGAATCGATCCGCACCTGAAGATCGATCTCGCACCTTTAGATACGCGGCACTCAACTTGGCTGTCTTGCATGCTCAATTTAACCACAAGTAAAAAATTAATTTATCCATCAGGTATATATAATGTATTTATTGAGTAACGCAGTGCTGTTTCTTCCATTTTCCTCTTTTTTAAAGAGAAGTAGCGCAATATGCCTTGAGGGAAGCGATTACATTAGCTCAGGAAGCTGGAGACAACGTGTGTTTGCAGCTTGCACATTCTTGGATGTATTATTTGACCAGCGAGGAAAAGTAAGCCAGTGAATATGAATGCGAGAATTCATAACAATTTTAATAAGCAGATCTTTTCATTCACAAGGCGGATGTATCTTTGATTTATATCTGACACGTATACTTTATTATTATTACTCAGGGGACCTCTTATAGAACGCTCGGTCGGCAAAGCGAGTATGCTCGGTATCACACATACAACAGGCTTGAGCCTGATTTCACACGCGCACAACTCCGCCCTGGAAGCCAAGAGCCCCCCTCAAGTGTTCGAAGTACGATATTGACGTCACTCGGGATCGCAACGACAAGATAAATAACTTATGTCGTGTTTACAATGATTTTTTTGTTTGCAGACGCTAATCAAATCGGACGTGTTGAATTGTCAGCACTCGATGTCCGACTTGATGTCCATCACTTTCGCGGAGAAGTCTGCGTTATGGGCGTATTACGGCAAAACGGAAATGGCGTCGCTTTGCGCACAATTGTTGCTCCTTCACAATACGGGCAATAAGAAGCAACATATGTTTAATGGGCCGTCCACGTGTCAAGCGATTGTCACTATCGCGAATATGTTGATCGAATTCGGTGAATACACGCTCAGCGACGTCGTGCTGGCCCACGCCAAGGAGAGATTCCCTAACGAACCCTGCAACAAAGTGTGCAATTTAATGCAAGAAACTTAGAAATTACGTAGACTGACGCGTTCTTAAAATACACATTTTTTTTAATAACAATACAGAAGTGCAAATAGTTTTCGAATATTGTAGATCGAGAAAGGAGAATCTTTTTCCTATCGGTATCTATAATTCTCGTGTTTCAGATCTGGATGCTGAGCGAACAGCTGCATTTGTTCACGCAATTAATGAGACAAGAGAAATGGAGCGAGGCAGAGGCAGCGGCCCAAAATATCTCCAGTTTGGATCAGCTGGAATGCAAGTTCAGGTAGTAGTCAATTCAGATTCATTTTGCAGAAATTACATACGTGTCGGAATGACAAACACTGTGAACAATGTCGTAGATTAGCGGAGGTCTGCTTAGCGAAGGGTGATTACCCGGAAGGAATGAAGTATATCGGCATTATCGAGGAGCATTCAGACGTAACTCCGCCGCACAAAATACGCACCACACTTCTCTACAGCCAGATAACATGTGCTTCGTCTTTGTCGGGAAACGGCACAGCCGCCACTAATTGCATAGTGCGTCTAAGCTCGGCCTTGGAACTGGCTGCGCAAAATTATCTATCCTACTACAAAGCGCTCGTCAAGATGCATCTCGCTAACGTGCAAGTTAGTCTTCCAAACCTCCTTGCCGCCTTCTCTAATATAGAGTGGTTTTCCGCGAGAAAATTCGACAAACTTCTAAAACATGTTCTAGGGGTTCTAGGTTCTAATTCTAAGCAAAACAGTTCACAGATACACTATAGATCAATTCGATTTAGTTATCGAGATATGGAAAAATTCAATTCTTATTAATAACATAAATTTCCGAATATCAACGGCCTTGCTCTGAATCTCTCTTTGTAGGATTTTGTTTGAAATTTCGTTTATACAAGGGCGATAAACCAGAAACCTGTCAACAGTTGATCGACAGAATAATATAAGGATTATAAATAGTATTTGCATTGAATTTTACATTTGTTCTTATTAGACAAATTATTTGGCAACGATCTATGGTATAATGAACAACGATATATTTGCAATACAAACAGAAGGTGGACATTTTAAATAGATAATATAAGTAGAAAAATAATATTCATTTAAAAAAAGTTACAAATGTCTGGTATTTTTCTCTGATTATAATATTAACAAAATCGTCTATATCTTAAGAATTGCACCGGATTAATCTATAGGTCCATATTCTGAACTCGCTTTTATTGATAAAAGTGTCTTAAATATGGTTTCTCAGTCAATCAGGTGGTTTCTAAGCCACTTTTAGAAGCGCTTTTATCAATAAAAGAGAGTTCAGAATATAGGCCGTAATGTATCTGAGTTGTTTTGCTTAGAATGATCTCCAGAACACGTTCTAGAAGTTTGTCGGTTTCCTAGCGAAACATACATACACACACACACACTCTCTCTCTCTCTCTTTCTCTCTCTCATCAATGAATAATCATATAATTATTTAACTGTCTTGCAGTTGCTGATAGGTTTGCCCACGTTGGCTTTGAATATGGTGGAAGACGCCATTCCCACGATCTTGGGTCATGGTGGCTGTTATGATCAAGGTCAGGCATTTATGTTGTACGGCAAGTGCTTGTTGACTTCGGCACCGGAGGGTCCTTTTGAAGCACGGAAAGAAGCGATCCTAAGCGGAATAAAAGTCCTTTCGAAGGCGTTGGCACGATTCACAAAAGTCAAAGCCATCGCCAGGGTCAAGAGCATCTTGTATCTGCAAGCTGTCTTTTACAATGAGATTAACCTTTTGCCCGAGCGGAATCAATGCGCTTTCGAATTTCGCCAGTTGGACGAACAATACCTAACGACAGCTGGCAATTCGTCTTTGTATTAAAGATTATTAAAGATTATAAGAAGATAGTTTTGTATAAAAATAAAAAAGAAACGTTAAACAGCAATTCCGTAGTTCCTATTTACTGGCATAATTATGAAAAAGAATATTCATTTTGATTATAAGTTACATTAATTCATATATATATACACGGTGTCTTATTTTAATCGACAAACGGAGATATCTCCGAAACTACGCAACCTACGAAAAAAATGTTCGGATAAAAGTTGTCGAGGACAGTGGGAGTCATCTACTTGTGCTAATGACCTTGACCTTGAGGTCAGTTTTCAAGGTCATTTCAAGGTCACTTTTTTACATGGAACCCCCTATTTTTAATGCCGGATTCAGAAAGAGCGGGAAATTTTACATCCAGATATGTATCAAAATATAAGGTTAACGTGACTTCCATAGGTCAAATGAAGGTCAAGAAACCACCCCTACCAAACCCCAAGCAGGCTAAACCACCTAACTCTGAAAACAGCGAGTTTAATCGTTTCTTTTTCTTTAAAATAAATTGAATTCCAATCCACAAATAGATTGACTCACAAGCTCGTGCATTATCTTCGTTGTATTCATGATGTCGACGTATATATATATATATATATAATATAATATAATTTAAATATTAGTATGATACATATATAATTTGAAGAATATAATTTTTTCAAAAGAAGAGTGATTATTATTTCGAATTGTAGAAGAGAAAATTTCCATAGGAGGTGACGTACGATCCTGCGACAGACCTATTTTATTAAGATTTCGGAATACAACTCCGGAGTCCTAATTTCAAAAACAATTTTCGCGCTAATCACAAACTGATTAAAAAATTCCTGGCGCGTATACTAAAGTTGGTGACACGCATTTTCGTAATCTTTTGGTCCGTTCTTTTTAGCTGCATCGCCAAACTGGTGAGATAAGTTAAGCCAGCGGCACGCGGTGCTTGTTTTCGTGCTGGATTGCTCGTTGGATAGAAATACTGCGTTCTGATTGGTACATTTCCGAAAATGGATAGAAATACACCAATTAGAACGCGGTGTTTCCATCCAACAAGCAATCCAGCACGAAAACAAGCATCGTGTGCCGTTGGCTTTAGAGCGAGACAAGTATATTTCGTCTTGCTCTAACTTATCGCATCAGTTCGGTGCAGCTAAAAAGAACGGATCATTTGTTAGTGCATCGAATTAGCGGAGACAAGAGTCCGAAGATGTAATGTGATCTCGGTAACGTGTCACGTCGTCGACATCGAATTCGAATATATAATTGTGAAATAGTCGATTGATCGGCATCGGGCATTTCCAAGCCATGCTGTAATGCCACGAAACGAAACAGGTGATCTCGTGGTTTGGACGGAACGGAGATTAGGAGGATTAAAGTGTAGTCGCCATCGCAGCATTGTGCCGTATCACAGTCGGACATTATACCGGATTATTATGACATAATTACTGCTTACGAATAATTTACAGTCGAAAGAGATATCAGTGCGTGTCTCAACACTGAGCCGTGCAAGCACTATATATAACTCGCTTGCACGTCAACATTGCCTGCCGCAACTTGTTTTGCAAATTTCACGAGTGTGCAAGTCCGGTCGCAGCACTTTTAGGATTATGGCCAGCTCGGTGCTCAGCACCACTAATGGATACAATTTTAAAGTCGTTTTACTCGGTGAGGGTTGCGTCGGCAAAACCTCGGTCGCGCTGCGATACGTCGAGGACAAGTTTAACGACAAGCATATCAGTACGCTGCAGGTAACTTTGTATATCCTCAAACACCCGATTCTTATTCGCATCGGCTCCGATCGTTTTTTCGCTTTCTATTTTCAAATCCGATTTGCCGTGTAGAAAGGAAATTGTCGACATTTTGACGATCCGATTGTTTTAGGCGTCCTTCCTGAATAAGAAATTGAACATTAATGGAAAAAGGGTAAACTTGGCGATATGGGACACAGCAGGGCAAGAAAAATTTCATGCGTTAGGACCAATTTATTATAGAATGTCCAACGGTGCTATTCTCGTGTACGACATTACAGATGAAGATACATTTCAAAAGGTATGTTATAAATTGATTGTTATCTCATATTCTAAGTATTATCTATTTGCTCTCATAGTTAAGGAAAAGTTTAGCGACAATAAGATTTTGTTGTAAAGGTGAAGAATTGGGTAAAGGAGCTTAAGAAAATGTTAGGTAGCGAAATATGCTTAGCGATAGCAGGTAATAAAGTGGATTTAGAAAAAGAAAGAAATGTCGCTATAGAGGAAGCGGAAGAGTAAGTATGATGACTTTTTTGTTTTTTTTTTTTTGCAAACCACAAGTTAAATATAATGAAACCATTGCTCGTAGATACGCCAAACAGGTGGGTGCTATGCACTTTCACACATCGGCTAAGTTAAATCAAAACATCGAGGAAATGTTCTTAGATCTGACAAGACGCATGATGCAACATGCGGACGAGGTCGAACAGAAATCCACCCTTACAAGGACCAATAGTACACGTCGCAATGTCGTAGTGGTTGAGGACGAGATGGAACAGAGTCAGCCGACTAGAAGTTCCTGCTGCACCGGTGGTGGTGGTAGTGGTGGTAGTGGTGGTGGCAGTGGTGGTAACGCAAAAGTCGGTAGTGGCGATGGCAGTAGCAGCGGTGGTTTTTCGTAGACTTTTTTTTTTAATTTGAGTTATATTCAAGTATAGACAAGGTCTAATCCATCAGCTCTATATATATATATATATATATATATATATATATACGGGATGAGGCATTCCAAGAGTGTGACGAATTTTACTATCTTCTAGAAAAAATACTTGTCGAGATATTTCTCTCAATGTCGCATTGCCAAATGCCTTACCTTTTTGTGTATATTGTGTGGGTACATTATCCACGTATGTGAATGCACGTGTATATACAAGTGCTGAATTATATAGATATATATAACCTTGCTATTTGAGAAAAAAATTATCACGAGTTAATTAGCTAAACTATTAGCTAATCACGGCGAAAACTAGACAACATGTCGACGCGTGAAAATTTCCAAGGGAAACTAGAGGGACTTTCGGCTTTTATCCAAAACGATAGCTTAGAATAATGTACATATTGATACTTAATGTGTAACGTCGGACGACCGAACTGGAGACTTTCTAGTTAGAGTTTGGCAACATCCAATTTTAAAGGATAAAATGACAAGATAGATTGCAAACTATTAATAAATATATTCCGAATTGTGTATGGTGTAGAATTAAATACGTTTAACTGTGCAGATCAGTCATTTGCTCTGAAGCTGCCGGATTCTAATCAGATGGTCTTTGGATTACATTAAGTTGTGCGCCATATAGTAGAGGCTTTTTGAGCCAACGAGCAATTGATGAAATTTTCGTTAGTGCAAGAGACTGTAGCGCGCGCCGTTAGGCGGGATTTTTAAATTTATCCCCTGGTTCAAACTCTTCCGCCAAATGACGTGCGTACTACAGTCGCATCATAGATTATAGATATACCATAATAAATATAATCTACATTTTGTTCGGAAAATTGTTTCAGAACTGATACAATTAAGATACATTTCCTTTTTTTTATAAAAACTTTAATTACTTGTTTGATGTTTATTACATTGTTATAGATAAAACATATAAATTTGAATACGAAGAGATAAATTGCCGGAAATTGTTAGATATTGTTTGTTAACTCACAATAATTTTATTCGTCTGAAATTATATGAATCAGCGAGACAAATAGTTGTAAAGTTTAAATTATTGTTATATAAGTTATACGAACATAAAATGGTAAATTGTAATAATGTTGTAGAAGAACGTTTCATTTACTTTTTTGTACGTCATGTACGAATCTGTGTTGAAGTGTTCGGGATTTTTACAAAGGATTTGCACAATCGATGTACCAATCTCATCATAGATATAGAAATTAACATATTTTATTATGCGTTTTTCTATCGACAACAAGGAGGAATGTCACATCAGTTCTATATAGGTCTGGATTAGTCTTTTCGATGATAGAGAGCAGATTTAGGATGTCAGCCTATATTTTATCCTAGTTACCCATAATGGCAGGACCGTTTAAAAGATGTACATAGATACGGTACATAGGTTCGTTCCACGAAAACTGCTAAGTTTCTTATTCTTAAGAGACGGGTAAAATTAATTAAAACGTTAAACTATATAGTACCCTGACATTCATATTATACGTTAAATTTCTCTTTCTCTCTCCCTCATCATATTATTTAACCTTTTATCACGACATCGAAACAAACGATCACGCAAATTCTTCTCCCAAGATCACAATCAAGAAGAGAATATCGTAATCATATTAAAATTTACACAGTGACTGAGTCACTAAGAGAGTCTATGTTATTCGAGATTAACACAGCGTATCTCTCTTTTTTTTCTCTCTATGTTACACGTATAAATTCTTTTGCATTAATCATTTTCTTTAATATATCTCGTTTTCCCGAGTTTCCTTAGATACAATATCACGTATACTACATTTGTTAAACTACAATAATATTAAATTATCAATTTTTCCAATATATACATAAAACCTTGCGATGCAAAAGATGCCAAGTATTACAAGATTTTTTTTATTTATATATAATTTACTTATATTTCAAATTTATAGTACCAAGACATTCGATAAAAATTACAAGATGAGATTTTATGAGTCATATACTCGAACAAATATGATTAAACAGTCTGCAGATTTAACTTTGCGATAAAAATAAATAACTCATTGTTACGTAATGTAAAATATGAAATTCATCGAAACTATTTAAATTGATTCGATAACAATGACTGAAGCAAATTTATTCTAAACGTTTTGATAAAGTAAAAATAAAATAAAAATAATTAAACTTTTAAAGATTATAAATTAAAAAATAACTTAATATAACTTATTAAAATAAAACTAATTCGTTGTGTTAAATATTCAATTAAATATGACATTAAAAAAGATAAATGAACATTTCAGAACAAATCACCATCCATAGGTCTGTTCGTTTTCGCTGCACTGCTGAACTAGTGCAATAAGTTGAAGCGAGACAAGTATATGTTTTCTCACTTCAACTTATTGTACTATTTCAGCGGTGCACCGAAAATGAACAGACCTCATGATCTCTCGCGACAAGAAGCATCTCTTGATATCTTCTTTCATTTTTGAACGCAAATTACTTTCTACGTTTTATTAAATTATAGTAAATACTATTTCTATAAATATCCTACAAGTATGTATATATATATATATATATGGCATTTAAATTGAGATGTCTTAATATAACAAAAATAAAGCAAAATAGAAAGAAATGTTTCAGACAAAAGTTGCAGAGTTTGGATGGGATATATTTTAGTGACATTAACTTCGTTGTATCATCAATAATTCAAAGCTATTTCAAAGTCGTTCATTTTTTTAAGTGGAATTACATCATTTTTTTTTTAATATAAATCGATTTATCTGTTCATTTTACGTATAATAATACTAAGGTGAGATCATCGAAAAATGAATACTTTGTAAGATATTTTACTTTTTATTCTAATATTATTTAGTATAAAAAAAGATAACATATCTCCAAGTTTTCGATAATATCACTTCAATATTTTTATATGTAGAATGACAGGTAGAATCGTCGCTGTGAGCAAATATAGAAAAAGCTTAAAAAATAATTCCTGTATTTGCAAATATATNATATTTTATATAGAAAGGTGATATTATCGAGAAATGAATATTTCATATTTCATATTTTATATTGAAAAATATCAGAATAAATAAAATATCTCGAAAAGTATTCACTTTTCGATGATCTAATCCTAGTATTTTTATACGCAGAATGAACCGAGAAATCGATTTGTATTAAAAAAAATTATATAGTTCTATCAAGAAAAACGAAGTTGACCTTAAAATGACTGAATTATTGACAGTACTACGAAGTTAAGGCCAAAATATGTTTCCTCTCAAACCTACAACTTTTGTTTAAAACATTTCTATTTTGCATTTTTGTTATATTAAGGTATCTCAATTTAAACATCCTACTATATATATATATACATATTCACCGCGTGATGTTTCATGTATCTTTGGTATTTGGTCATAATTTTTGTAAATATACACATTCTTTCCTGCTCCTTTCTATCTGCAAAAATTATTGTACCTAATCGTATTAAAAAATCTTGTGCAAAATCGTGTGAACAAATATTGGGCATCTCCTTCTTTGCTCTTCTCTCTATCGTCAGATATAAAAATATTCCGGTAAATGAAAGTGCGAATATTAGATGTATGATAATAACCATGGTCGGTAATTGAATGATTAGGCCCTGGGCTGTCTTTACGCGATGCATTTTTAAATAATGAATATCTTATCTTGATAAGTGAATAAAAAGTCTATGAATTGGTTGATGGGCCCTATCGCGGAGAGAGACATCCCTCGAGCTGGCGGTGCCCTAACTAGATTTGGTCCGAACACGACTGCAAGATTGCTAGAAGTCATCTTGTTCAAGTCACATCGGTCCATTACCTGCCAATAGAAAAGACAATCGAGAAACTCGCTTTTTCCTGTGTTCTTCATAATAGTTATTCCAGACAAGCAACAAGATACAACTACATACCCTTGATAAAAATTGTACGATATATTTAAGGACTTGATAGTTATCTTCGGGCAGCTTTTCCAGCACTAGTATCTTAACTTTACGTGGACGCTCATCCTTCGATAATGCTAAAACGATTTATACGATTCAGATTTTCCTTTGTCATAAAAAAAGAAAAAAAATGAATACTCCCGTATTTCTCTTTTTGACTCGATTCAAACGAAAGAAGTAAAAAAACGTAAAATGCTCACTTTGAAACTGTGTAATTTCATCGTACAATTCGTAAGTCATAAGGGGTTCGTCTAATTCACGGAGGAAAGTTTTAAGAAGGACCGCAGCAATATGTGGATCTCCTTGAAAGTCGATGGGTAGACCTTGATTACAACGATTTTGAAGTTCCTTGACGACCATTAAGTTGGCTGATCGTCGGAATATGCCTTCAGTTTCGAGAGCTGAAAATAATTCAATACACGGATCATTGTTTTCGAGTTAACGAGAAATGAAGGGAATTATCGCAAGATAAGTGAAGATCGACGAGAGACATACCGTCAGGAGTGTCGAGAAATTCTACGCATTGCCTCAATATTGGCGGTATCGGATCACCGTTGTTATTTTCCTTTATAAACTGCAAACCAGCACCGAATTGAGTCGTGCCAACTGGCGTGGTCACTGTGCTTTGCGGTGGACTTGTCAGTAAATTCTTCTTATTTTTTATCAGTAACTGTTCATTGTGTCTGAAAGTATATTGCTAGATAAGTGAAATTGTGTTATCCCAACTGCACAAAATAGCACTTATGCAATGAAAACTACATACTCTATCACTTGGGGAGGTATGATAAGTTGATCTAAATTAATATATTGCGCCAATTCCTCTAGATAATTAACGTACATCATCTTTCTCCCAAATTTTACACTGCAAAAATTCAATATATTTATACAGTATTAACAAAAATATTAGAACTCGAGAAGGCAAGGAAAACGTCCGGATGAGAGAACATTGCGTACCTAATAGCCGGCTTGAATATCTGCCACACGATTCTAATGAAATTAGTCGGATGTACAAGATAAAGGGCTTTAAGATTCTTTTTATATTTCCTATCAAACGCTTTATACGCCTGCCATAACCAAGACAGAGGCGGTTTATTTTTCGACGTAAGACCATAATGAAAGTAAATGAGACTATAATCTTGCTCCACGAACGTGTCTAAGGTATGCGTGAGATACCTGCGGAATACATTAGAAAATATATTAAAAAAGGATAAATGTCAATATCAGTTAATGCAAAGTCGGTAAAGACTTGTAAACTTTTATAGACTCTGCCAGTCATATTATAAAATGACGATGTAACTGATTTGTTAATAATCAACACACACACAATGACAAATCATCATCACTATTGTATATCATCTTGTAACATGTAACTAACCTTAGGAGCTTAGCATGATTGAAGGTCTCCTTCCCAATAGGAGGCAATTTACAGGCTGACACCACTATTATCTTGCGACCGGCACTGTCATCGCCAACCACCTCCACGATCCCGTGTCTAGATATGTCGAGATAATCCTCCTCATCGGCGAGTTCGCCATCTAAAGCGGCGAGGTCTTCTGCTGCTTATCAACAGAAACATTTGTCGTAACAGACTCTCAGCAGAAGAGAGGACTCTTAGTCATACTTAACAAACGCATTCCAACTAAAAATACAATCAGCAACAATGATTCGATCCCTTGAAGCAATTATATATATGTAGCCATGAGCAAAAATGAAAATCCAATGACCGAGATGAACGATTATGATTATTGTTATCCTGCTATAGGGGATTGAATCGTATGTCAAGTTATTGCAAACCTATTTAAGAAGCGATCAACAATCGTCACATTCCCTTTCTTCTTTCACCCTTACACCATGCAATTTAACAAACTATACAACGTTCTATATAATTCACCTGCTATGCCCCGAATGCCATGACATTTAGTGGCTACTAACAGAAGGTAAAAGGTCACACACCAGATTCAATAACCGGAGCGTCTACCAAAGCTTCCTCAAAGTTCTCTTCGATCGTGCCGTCGCTCACTGGACTTTCCAAATAATCTATTCCAGTGCCCGCGCCGCTACTTGCCAAATCTAATTTCTCCTCCAGAAGTTGTACAGCTGCGATAAGACAGCCATGAGATATACAACATATAATAAAACAAATTAAACAAGTACCATTGGATACACTACCATTGTTGGAGGTGGTTTGCAACTCTGTATCATCAAACTCCAGATTTGGCTCATAATCGTGATAATCCGACAAACTAGGGTACGGATCCTCACAGTCGTTGGTTACGCCTGCTGAATAAAGAAAATTCAAAATCTGAGAGAGTGTAATCGATAATAATAAATACAAAAAAAACAAAACACTGGTATATATATATACATTTCGTGTATACTTCTGCAAAGTTACACGAAGCGAATAATTAGTTGATATCGTCGAGTATTGTGCGATTAACTTGACCCAATAGGCGCGACACAACGGCTGTTAACCGCGGAATCTGATACGCGATAGAGCACCGAGCTAGACGATGTATGCAGACGTGTATTGTCAACAATCGCGCGACATACAGTACGTCAGTCGTGTGTGCTCTCTCTCTCCCTCCCTCCCTCTCTCTCTCTCTCTCTCTTTCTCTCTCACCTATCAACGTCCGCGACGGGCTCAACGTCGGCTGATAGTCCGCTTCCATTTCTGCGGCGTCGGCGCCCGTTAAGGATGTTGCAGCTGTCGGAGCCGCGATGATTTTGACGTTGTTACAGACGCGTGCGATCTTCCTGAATCTTCTCGCACGGTGACATTATTCCTCCTCCTACCTTCGACGACGGTACGACAAACGGCAGGACGACGCGCGACTGCGACTCACGTCACGCTTTCATTTATCCCCGTCGATGTGTTCTCTCACGATGTATCGATATCTGGCTCCTTCAATCTGAGTATCGCATCTCGATGTTCGAGATACAGTGACGTCTCCTGGAGGGCCCTACTTGGTACTAACAACGAAGGAATAGAGAGAGGGAGAGAGAGCGCTCGATTGACTTCTCAGACTCCGGTCTACATGTCACTCCCGCGTCCACGGCGACGGATTATGGCGACAGTGAATCAATATCACACAACCGCCGACGCGAGCGTCGTCGCGCGGCGTCACGTCGTACCGCAGCGCTGGAGCGCGCACGACGACCGTGAAAATCGAATAAATAGTCGTTCGCGGTGCCAGCCGGAGCAGACGCGAACGGACGGACGTCACGACGTTCGGTGAAAGAGACGAGAAATCGAAAGACTGAGAAAGAGAGCCGCGACGAGGCGTCGTACCCTCCGTCAGCAAATTATATCTGTGTATCGACAACACGCGCTCTCGATCTCGCCCTTCCACGGCGGCTGCTGCTGCTGCTGGTAACCTGTGTACGGCGTGTAACACACAGGTACGCGTCGTCCACGAAAACGGGCTCTCCGGGAAACGCGCTCGGAATATTCCTCATCGATGAGTGAGCGAGTACGCGATCGCGCTTCGACGGTGGGTGCCGCGCGGCCGCCGCGAGACAGGCCGGGGCCCAGGTTTTGAATTCGGAGGAGACCATCGCGCGAGGAATGACGCTGGAGAATCCGTTCTTCGTCGTCAAGGAGTAAGTACAGTCGGACGAGCGATTCCACACGCGCGATCGATATATCTTGCTCGGGCCCTGTGTGCGAGAGAGAGAGAGAGAAAGAGAGACACGACGATTCTGTGCATTGGAGGTTGGGAATATAAATGTGTGTATGTGGATATCTCACGCATATTAGATCTTTTTAGCTGAATTGCTGCAATAAGTTAGAATAAGACAAAATATACTTGTCTCACTCTAACTTATCGCACCAGTTCAACGGTGGAGCTAAAGCTTGGTCTACAATGTGCTCTCTCCTTTTTTGTTATGTCTTTCTTCTGTAAGAAGAATTTCTATTTACTTATGGAAAAAGATAGAAAGCAAAAAACAAGAAATAAAGAACACATTGTAAATCAGGCTTTAAAAGAACAGGTCAATTGTCGGGGGGATTTTTCGGGGGTGACGATGCGATGTACGTGCGCAAGCGCATGAGCAAAATGCAAACACGATAGAGAGAATGGGTAGGCGATAAGGGCTATCTCGGATGTGCGATATCGCGGAGATTAAACGCGATGTTGCAATCGATACGTTAAATTAAATTCACGTGTTATTGCGTGTTCATAAAAAAAACTCTACGTGCTGATTATCTCGTCCCGACATATTGTTTCAAGATCATGTTCGTTCCTACACGTGAAAAAAGTGACATCAGCACGATGAACTTTATACAGACTAAATCTGCGTGAACATGTGAACGATGTTACACATCTGATATGTCTGATACTCCCTGAGCGGTTCGGCAAAACAACGAGATTCGGACTCGCGATTGACGATTTCCCGAATTCGGAAATTATCCGAATGAACGCTGCGAATTTTCATACGCATCGAACGCGAATCTACGAATAATCTCTTAAACTCGTAGCAAGCTGATTGCCTGTCAATTTCTCTTTTTGCGAATGTTAGAAACAATTGCGCGAGAATGATGAAGGAAGCGAATTATCTCGAGGAAACATGCTTTTCCGCTGGATTTTCATCTTTACATTAAGCGGGGTCTATAATAAGAATTTTAGGCGTAGGGTTTAAGAAATTAAACAATCATAATTGATTTTTCTTCTATAATTCGACTGTGATTAGTTAATTTCTTAAGTTTACGCCTTAAATTCTCATTATAGACCCCACTTTAAAGTGACCCCACTAAAAAAAAGAGATTTATCGCTTTTACCCGCGCTACATTATGGGTTTGTTTTCAGGAGTGCGTTCGGAAACGTTACTCGGATGCACCCGCTGCATTGGAGTAAGAGAAATAGTACAGTAAGATAAAGAGAGAGGGAGAGCATCCGGGCGACGTTCTCGAATCCATAGCCTTGTTCTTATATTGGCTACACTGATTCTCTTTTTATCTTTTTCTTGAGATTTAGTGGGAAAGAGAAGAAAGAAAAACTAGTGTAAGCTAGTGCAGTCAGTACAGGAAAAACCTTGTATTTATGTACCGGAAAAAGTATACGAGATAACTGGAGATAAATAAATAAATGAAGATCGCCGAGGAAATCGGAGAAAGCATCGACATATAGCACTGGACGAAGCATTGGGCCGAAATCGTATTGACAGACGTAGAAAGAGACAAGACAATGTATGGGTAAGAGCGGCTTATAGAGCAACGGGGCAATAAGGCATTTGTAATTCTATTATTTTAATTAATTTTTGTTATAACGGTAAGAATATAAGATATAAGGAAAAAGGAAAAGTTGAAACATAAAAATGTTTATAGAGTATATAACGTATATAACGTATATCATATCGCTCGTATATAGTAACGTCAAGAATGTTCCCAACTTTTAAGAATATGATATTTAGCCTGTTCTTTTTAGCTGAACTGCTGAACTGGTGCAATAAATTGAAGTGAGAAAACATATACTTGTCTCGCTCCAACTAATTGCACTAGTTCAGCAGTGCAGCTAAAAAGAACAGACTAATTGTTCCCCTTTTCCTTAGACAAGATTCAACCAATGAACAGAGAGTAGAAAGAGAGATTCGTGTCTACACATGTAACTCTCTCTTTCTAGGTCTCTCAATATGAAAAATCAAAGAAATCTTGCCGCATGTTCCGTCCAATACTATATATGTTGATGGGAAAGAATATATATGAATGCAAACCGACAGAACAGATTCCGCATTGCATCACCGAAGTACACCGCAAACGAAATCTTCGATGTGAATCGAATTTAAAATTTGAATCTTTGAACCTCAGTCGGGTATGTGTGTGTGTGTGTGTGTATACAGTAAGCGTTACATATGCCGTACAATTCCCTAGACCGAAAGTTGCACTTCGTTTAGCCTTTCACACATATACAAATAAGGTTGAACTTATAATTTGAGCCATTATAATTCTATTGTTTAACTAGAGTTACTTCTGCAATCTTCAACTTTATACTTTATTTAGTTTTTAATAGATGTAATAAGCTTTAGCCTTTCGCTCCAATTATAAGCGATAAAATGTAACACCATTTCTGATAAAAAGCATTTTCTGCGCTATTAATTTATAATACCAATTCTGAGCTATCAAAAGCTGTAATAATGCTTAAAGCTAATGGAAGAAAACGAGACGTAAGCACTTACATCTGTCGTAGCCGTGGACGTAAAGAAAGATAGAGCAAACCATAAACGTAACCGCAACCACATTCAATAATTTTTCACGACTTGCGTTTATAATTTCTTTTTTGCTTTAAGCGGGGTCTACAATGAGAATTTAAGGTGTAAAACTTAAGAAATTAACCAATCACAGTCGAATTATAGAAGAAAAATAAATTATGATTATATATATGGTAGGAAGGTAGTTGACACTTTCGTGTTGTTTATCTGAGCTTGTTGGTCTGTTGCTTTTCAGCCGTTTTACTGATTTGGTATTTCCTGATTATTTTAACTATTTGTCCTGGTGTATATCCGTTTCCTTGTAGTGTCTCTTTTAACTCTGTAAGCTCCTTTTGCACGCTATTTTAGTTTCAGATAGTGAAGGCTCTATAAATTAAAGAATCTAGAATTGATTGATTTTGGGAAGGATGGTGTGTGAAGTAGCTTGGAGGGCTCCGATAGCCCACATAGGTGATTGGCTAATTTAATATAAAATGTTCTAATTAGTGCTCCAGCGGAAAGACTCTAGGCACCGGCCGATGTGAGTGGATGTGCTATCGCATCATGTACTAATGGGACTCTCTCCCTGAAGATATCTATTGGTGTGCGTAAGTTTCTTGTATACTTTGTAGTCTAGGGATCCATCCGGTTTTCTTGTGACTAGGATGCCTAGGAATGTGAGTTTGCCGTCCTGTTCTGTTTCCATGGTAAAACTGATGTTGGCATATCGTATGTTGAGGAACTACAGAAACTTTTGCAGCTCTTCCTGTCTATGCTGTCATGCGCAAAAGTGTTGTTCATATATTTGAACTAAATTTTTGCGTTCTAGAGAACGCATGCTTCGAAATGTTCCATAAAAATGCTCGCTATGATCGGAGATAATCCCATGGCTGTCCCTACCATTTGTAAAATTAGTTCTTATACGAGAAATACGTGTTAATTAGACAATGTTCTATTAGAGGAATTAGGACCGGTGAGATGTGAATTAAAGATTTGATTTTATTGATGGTGATGTGTTGTCCTTATTTACACAGGTCCTAATATAGGGTCTCTATCAAAGCTCACCAATATGTTATCAGGAGTAGGATGTTTTGGATTCTTTATATGAAGTCTGCGGAGTTCTTGATAATGGACCTGATTTATTCCGTGAGTGGCTCTGGTCTTTTGACTAGCTTGTATGCCAGTTTATATGTCAGAAAGTTTCTGGCGCTAACTATTGGTCTTAGCGATATTCCGGTCTTGTATATTTTGGGAAAACTATGTAATCTAGAATATTCGGGGTTTTTTGATACTAGGCTGGTTTTCACGAGAGGATTCCATTAGCGCACAGTGCGATAGCACACATCAGCCGATCCACTTACATCAGCTGATGCCTGAAGTCTCCGCTGGACCACCAATTATCATAGAAAATTTTATGTTAAATTAGCCAATTATCTCTGTGAGCAATCGGAACCCGCCCGTTTTTACCAGGTCTGGGAGTTTGCTGTTTTTTATAAGCTTAATAGTTTGCATTTTCAAGGCTGAAGTGAAATCTTTATTCAGTTTTTCATAGATGTCCGCCGCTAGATGGACCTGTATTTTTGAGTTATAGTTTTTTATGCCCATTAATATGGATGTTGCCCTTGTCTACTGGAAGAATGATAATCCGTGTCCTTGTTCAATTGCCTTAGGGCGAGTTGGCTCTGAAAAAGTTTTGTGTTGGGAGTTTTTCTTAGTATAACTTAGTATATCAGTTCTTTTAAGCGTGGTCTTTTACGCGTCTGCCTGTTCTTGTGGGAGCATGTAAATGGAGAATTTTATGTTGCTTATGATTTCCGTCTTCGGTATTACGGTGGCTGCTATTGCGTAATCGAATCCTTTAACAAAGACGGAGATGGTTTCTGTTTCCGAGACCTTTTTACTTGTGAGATTTTTTCTAGAAGTTTTTACTAGGATATTTATAATTTCATTTATGGTTAACGTCTAATGAATTTGCTCACTTTTGTAATTTTTTTTTCGTTTTGAGATATACAATCAACTGCCAGGCCTAATCGCTTCCCATACAATACAGACCTCCAAAGGACATCTGGTTATCTTAAAGATATCTAGAAGACGTTTATATATCCTTAAGGACATCCATCAAATTAGAACGTTCATCGGATAAAGTGTGCTATATTACGTCTCGTTCTCTGCCATCAGCCATAGAAGGAAACAAGAGATCTGTTTTCTGTTCCTTCACTGGCACTGTTCCTGCACTAGCTTGCACTAATTCTCTTTTCATATCTTTTTTGAGATTTAGTGGGAAAAAGAGGAAAGGAAAACTAATATACGAGGATGGTTTGATAAGTAATTTGGTTTGATATTAAAGATAACAATTTGAGTTTTATAACGTAGTTTATTTATCAACATAATCCCCTCGAAGTTTTCGGTTCGCCCCGTGCGGTCCACTGCTATTTCGACTGCTATTTCGTTTCCAGGATATAGTGGTGAATTTCGTCTATGGTTACAAAATGCCGCAAAAATCCGCTTGATTCTTCTTAAACACTTGCAAACAGTCGGCTGATGTTCGCATGTAAATTCGTTTTTACTCTGGTGTGAGCAAACATGGCACCCATCTTGCTGTAAGTTTTTTCATGTGCAATTCATTATACAAAATGAAATGAACCTGCTCAGTGAAGATGCCTGTGGCCTCTGTTAATTCGCGCTCTTTCACTCGTCTGTCGGCCAAAACCATATCATGGACTTTATCGATGATTTCTGGCGTCACAGCTAATTTCAAGGTTCCAGAATATTGTGCATCTTCGATGTTTATTCTATCACACTTGAATTCATTTACTCAAAGTCAAACGGTTTCATAGGAAGGACATGAGCCACCCAATGTAGGGGAAATCCTCTCATTACCTTTGCTGTTTTCTCTTCTAGAAAGAAGAATTTAATCACACCATGAATTCGAATTTTATCCATTTTTCACTGTCACTCGAAACACTTCTGTTTAAGCAGCCGTCAAACAACAAATTACTGTCAGAATGACTGAATGTGAATATAGAATATTCATCCATAGAAAGGACACTTTATGCTCACTTTATGATCACATATACAGATATCGCTGTCATCCTCTATTAGTATGAGAACCAAGTTACTTATCAAACCACCCTCGTAAGCTAGTACAGCTAGTGGAGGAACAAAAAATAAACCAAGATAAATGGACAATCGGAATTCATATGGACCGGGGCTGCGTTGCGAAATTGAAGTCGAAATTAAGTTAATATTTAATTAATCAATCAGGGTAAAAAAGCAAAGATTTTTTATCGTGATTAATTAACTAAATGCTAACCTAATTACTAATTATCGACTGGTTTAACGATTTCGAAATATAGCCCGGGGTCAAAACGCACTTAAATATGTGAACACTTTTTTTACATAATAAACATTGCATAAATAAAGTAGAAAATCATATTTAGTAATCATTACGTATATAATAATATCAGTTTTATGCGATATTTATATACAGCGTTGCATACTTATAGATCGCAATACGTTCAAGATATTTCGAACTTGTAAGAATACGGTGCTGTTCGCCTCGTCAGATAAAATTCAACCGATGAAGAGAAAGTAGAAGGAAAGTTCCGTGTCCGAACATTTACTTCTATCTTTCTAGGCCTGTCAACGTGAAAAATTACAAAAATTAAGCCGTATGCTCCGTCCAGTGCCATACATGACCACAGATATAGCATACATCATACCAACTGTATTTCGCCAGTCGCATATACACATACGCGATCGAAGCGTGTCGTAGATGAGAATTTAAATTTGAATTCGGACCCGATCGATCCTGCCTGCACTCGCTGTGATTGGCACGGATAGATCCCGAAGGCGCGCGGCGGCGGCGGTCGTTTAAACGATTGCGCGTGAACGCGCGGATTTTGTTTTCAGCGAGGTGTGTAAGGCGTTGAACAAGAACCGTGGCTTGTACGGACGCTGGAACGAGTTACAGGATGTCGCGGTCGCGTCGCCGAACACACCAGTGAGTGGTGGAATATCTGCGGCCGCCGCGCCGATCTCGCGGGACGAGCTCGATTGGACCACTACCGAGCTGCGGAAAGCGCTACGCTCCATCGAATGGGATCTCGACGATCTGGAGGATACTATCTATATCCTTTGCCATTGCTCCGTGTCTCATTCTACGTGAGGTGTCGTGAAACCCGTGTAATCGGCTAATTAAGCAGAATAGCTGACTTAATAATTTTTAGACAATGTTCCATGCTCCAAATCTTTGTCTAAATTATCACTTTTTTTTTGTTATACAGCAATTTATGATGTCGATAAAACACAGAACGGCTCTTTAATTTAAAATTGCAGACACAAGACAGTCATTGTGAGTCAGAGCCTTAGCGGAATGACTAATTTATCGGTTTAAGACAATGTCTCGTTCCTTAAGTCTTTGTATTTTGTAACGCACAATATTTGTCTTGTGCCTTTAAGAATATGTCAGAGTGGCTACCGGAGTTTCGGCAGGAATTTCGATAATATAGTGGTAACATTGGTAACATTACATTATACCGTTATCAATGCCATTAAATGTATGACATCCTACATAGCACACTTTACCTTGGAATGCTATTCCGTAACCGTTTACTGACAACTATCGGACAACTATGTGCAGCTTTTCTGCCATACTACTGTGATCAAAAATTACCGAGATTGGCCGGGATTTAAACTGCGCGCTTCGAACATATTGAAGAAACATTTTTTAGATTGGTAGAACTGTTTTTAATCTCGGCCTAAAATTTTATATCATAACCTTTCTCAGTCTACAAAATTTGTTTTGTGATTGAGGAAAGTACTCCCTGTGATTTTTAACACGTTGAATTTGAACATGTTGAGCAAAGAATTTGCATGGCGACGAGACATGGATTTACGCGTACGACACCGAAACAGCTCAACAATGGAGTGAATGACGTGTTAAAGGCGAGGTAAGCCCGAGAAGACTTCATCAAAATCGATCAAAAATCAAGGTCATGTTGACAGTCTTTTTCGATTATTGCGGTATTGTGCATCAGTTATTTTTTCCAATTGGTCAATTCTAATAACGGGATCTCACGATATCCTATTGAAATATCTAAATATTCTGCCATATCTCTTTACTTTATACAGAGTTTCTCTAAATTCAGTGTCGAAACTGGTACAGCGGCTTTAGCACATGAGAAAACAAATCGAAAATGCCTAAGAAACATGTCTGAATCCGAACAATTGTTGGAATTACGGGAGTTATTGAAGTTGATTTCATAAGAAAATATAAATTGAAATAAATGTTGTTTAGTGTCCTTTATTTTGTTGAAATCTTTATAAAAAATGCTCAAAACTTTCTCCGTTGACTTCGACATACTTTCTAGCACAAATTAATAAATTGTTTCAAGTTTTTTGAAAAGTGTTTGGAGGGAGGATCTCGTTGGTGCGATAGCACACATCCATTCACATCGGCCGATGCCTAGAGTCTTTCCGCTGGACCACCAATTAGACAATTTTATATTAAATTAGCCAATCATCTATGTGGGCTATCGGAGTCTTTCCTTCGCGGATGACATCGGTAGGCATTGACTGCCCATTACCGTAGTTGTCCTGAATCACGAATCTCATTCTGGTAGACTAGATCTTTCATGTGTTCCCAAAGGGGGGAAAAAATCCAGTGGTATAAATTCGGGACTTCTTGCTGGTTATTTAATTGTCATATGTTATACCTGCGCACCGACGATGTGACGGTAACGAAACCGTCGTTAAAGGTTACAGAATACAGGCACTGGAATACTATTCCGTTACTATCTACTAACAACTATCGAATTGGTGTCGTTGCACAGCTTTTTTTTGCCATATATATGCGCAACGACACATTTCTAGTTGTAAGTAGACGGTCACGGGATGGTACTCCTGGCCTGGATTTCTTTTGTTCATATAACTTACAGAATTTTTGTGCGAAGCAAATATAATTTTGGTCGACGGCTCTAGACGCCATAATGAAATAAAAACTAGCATAAAACTACAATTTTTAAACTTTTTTCGTTTTCGGTATAAAGTCAACCCGGCCCAAGCTACATTAACATATGTATCACCATGTAAAAGGATTTATGATTCTATGCGGTCAGAAACGAGAATAACTTGCCGAGAAAATTCGAATGAATTCTGACACTCCGACATCTTAAGAATTGTAATTCCTCTTATCTCATGATATCCTTTTGAGATCTCACAATATCCAAATATTCTGCCATATCTCTTTGCTTTACATAATATAAATAATATAAATTGCTATCAATAATATAAATGTAAATCATGATGTCGTGCCATTAGTAATAATGTAATTTTGACATTGCTTCGATCAGGCGAGAAATGTATATCGAACCGACATCAAAATAATTGAAATTATATCGAGTCGACATTGGTTCGACGAGTCATTTCTCGCTAGTGAATACTACTATTCAAATATTAAACATATTACGTTACAAATGACTTCCAGTAACTATAAAATGACCGACATATGTTTATGTGCTATCTGGATACATATATCTTATGATAATATATCTTACGATACTTCTTGAGCTTTCTCGGATATCCTTTGGACATTATTTAAGATCCGTAGGATACAAACGGACACTTTTGCATCTGCTAGATATCCAATGGATATTTTTGTGTGAAGCAAATATAATTTTGGTCGACGGCTCTAGACGCCATAATGAAATAAAAACTAGCATAAAACTACAATTTTTAAACTTTTTTGAGGCCATTTTGGGATATGCTACGGTTATTTCGATATCCCAAAATGAAGTCTGTAGGACGTCTCTCAGATAACATGTGCTGTGTAGACGAATAGTCATTTCCGATGTATTTTTTGCCAGCTGAACACGAATCCAAAATCGTCCAAAATTCGCTATCACGTCACAATTTTGAAAAAAATGATATCAAAATGGTTAAAACGGTCGGTTTTCTCGAAGGGCTAATTATTTAATTCGCGCTTTCGTAAGCGGTATCTGGGGCCAGCTCGCCGGATTGCCGGGTTAAATTTTTGGGTGAAATTATTAAAGGCTCGGTTCGGTTAACAAAATAAATTTTAACTGGCTTAGACGAACAGAAAGAAAGAAAAAATTAAAAAACGCAGTGATAAGACGTGGGGGATCGAACGAAGCGATCCTCGTTGCACGCCGGTTCGAAAACGAAACAGTTAACGGTAGATGCGGTATACGGTTAACAAGATAGTATACAATATTCGGGTAACGTTGGGCGCGGAATCTACATTGCGGATGCGGTATACAGTGGGCAGGGTATTTACATTGCGGTATTCGGTATACGGTGAACACGGTATTTATATCCGGTGTACGGTTAACAGTAAGCAAGGTACAGCCGGGTTTAGGCGCGAAATTTCAAGTGTCGGTGGTCGCTTCAATCGCGGGAAATAGCAGTGGCGAGGCCACTACCACGAAACTCGCCCAAACGGGATCAGAAGGTTGTCGTGAATACACGGCAGACGGAGACGGCGAACATACATCCTGTTTGTGTTCCGGTAGGATTCGGTTGTTCGTTGCCGCGAACTCATAGCTGAGACGGCTAACGTAGCGTCCCGGTAGACGCAGATCCGGGAGTTGAGAACACACCGTCTCCAGGAGGAGCCGGAGCTCGGTGCCGCTAGAATCCTAGATAAACAGAGAAGCGACGTTGAAGGAAATCGTCTGATTGGCTAGTTAAGTCACACAATTCAGCGCCATAATACTTACACCTGTACATGAATTATCGTTGCAGCTTGTTCTTGTCATTCAACTTTTCTGCCAATTCTAATATATGACCGTGAGTGCCTGAGCTATGCTTCACGCGCATTTTGTGCTAACCTGCTTTCTTCTATATGATGCATAAGCCAGCTTCCAAAAGCGGCTAACCTACTTTGACATCTCCTACTGTGATATGCGGAGAAATAGGCAGCTTTCGATATATCGCGCCTATCGATCGCATCTGCCGCTTCTCTATTCATCTAGAATTCCAGACGTCGCATGAGTGGCTGTGAGTGGCCGGTGAAGCTCGTTGTCCAGAGCGGCGCACGCTTATATTCGAAATTTGCGCGACGGTCCGCGCGCCGTTGCCAGGCAACGTGCGAGCGGCACAACATCGACGCACACGCGGTTGCCGTGTGAGCGCTCCTGACAGATTCGAATGACGATCAGCGAGCCGATAACGGGCCGAGAAATTGACGAAAACGCAAGGCCAAAAACGACAATTTCGGAGGTTTTCGTGACATCATAACATAGAAAGTAAATTTTTCCAAAATATTATTAATGCCACGTTAAAGCTCCTGGGTAATCGCTGCAACTTGTCTGATGACGTAAGAAGCGGGAAAGCGCATGTCAAGAATTCTTGCGTTTTACGTTCAAATAAAAAGATATACTCACAAAATGACATTTGTGTTGACACATGTATGTGTATGTATGTGTACGTGCGCACGTGTTTGTAAATGCACATACGCATAGACGTATCCATCTAATGTGATTTGCGTTTTAGAATTTTACATTCTAATTTGCGTTTGTACGATGTCTGAGGCGTATCTCGATCTATATTATAGCATATTAGTAGTAATCCGTAAGCATGTTTGGCATTATTTTTTCCTTTATATTTTTCCTTGAACTTTAAAATGTCTTTATGAATCTTTCGCTCATCACTAACAGCACCTAAAATTTTCCGGGAAAAAGATTAAGTGTGAATGTAAGAAATGAACTTTTAGTGACATATTATATTTCATTTCTTCGAAAGAAAGTTAATATATTTGTCACTCTTTCTATATAATTTTCACTGTTTTATTTTCCACAAAATTTTCAAGCACATTCTTCAATGAATCTCACGTTTTCCTTTCCGTACAAGTTAAGACATTATTAAAATTTGTATCTTTTTGCAGTTTTCGTATTTGAGAGCCGATGTATATTCCCCCTTTTATTTTAGCATTACTAATTTTGGGGGATATTTTTTTAAATGTTTAACATCTCCTTCATCTTTATTCATAGCTTTCACACAACTTTTCATTAGATCTAACTTGATATGAAGTGGTGAAATGATAAAATGATGAAATGATAAATTTATTTTAAAGCCTTAACCTACAAACTTTGAAGAAATCGAGACAATCGACAAATATTTTTGCTTAAATGATAGTTTATATATGTGAAAAAAATAACTCCACTAATTGGAATAGAACATTCGAAGTATTTACAAAGGTATAGCTGATGCAAAAAATTTTGCACACCAATGTTAATAACGATAATAGCTTCATGTGCTTAAATTGGTCTGTTCTTTTTAGCTGAACTAGCTGCATTTAGTGCATTAGTTCAAGAAATTTGTACACAGATTGAAATATATGAAGCGTACACATAAGATACTCATTCTTCAGTGTGCATAAATTTCTTGAACTAATACAACCAGTTTAGCTTAACAGAACAGACCAAAAGAAACGCTCAGCACCTCATCGATTGAAGCTCGCGAATTTCAAATAAATAATTGCGTTATCGCTCATTTATCCGAACACGGACGACGACAAAGTCGTACTTGGTTGATCGATTTCAGCGAGCAAAATGTCCAAAATCGACACATAAGACAATTTTAAGTTGTCGTTAAGAGTTCTTTGAAAAATATCTTAAGAATATTTCTTAAAGAACTCTTAAAGATATCTCAAAGTTGTCTTATGTATCGATTTCTCTTCACTAGGATGTTTAGATATAGATTTCCTCCAAATGCAAACTTCGCGAATCGTATGACGAATGACGTTTTTTTGCATGATTCGAACAAATTCTCTGTATGTTTTTATCCTTAACGTGTACGCACGTATTGTCGAGAAAAACCCGACAAAATTTAAGATTGACAACAAAGAGTTGACGGTTCAGCGGAGCTTCATCGAGCAAGCACGTGAGGAAGTCAAAGTAATTAACAACTAACATGGCACTCTGTTAAATTCACGATTGCGTAAAACTAATGCTATCCGTTTGTAAATATTTTGCAGATTATGAAGGACAAGTTGAATCTGAGCAGAGGCCGGGATCGTGACAGCACGGCGAGACAGGTTTGTATTGCACTTTTAATACTAATTATTCTAATTATATCCCAACGTCATAACTATCCTATTATGGAAATTTATTACTGTTAGACTAGCGATAAATTACTTATTTTGAATATTTAAAACACTGTTGTTAGTAATTCGTAATGTCGATTAAATTATAGAACTCGTAGTGATTCGAAATATTTCAGTGCTTAGGGTTGCAGTGATTAAATATTGTCATATCATTAATATAAATATTTAAATAGTAATGCTTAACAGCGTAGTACATGAGTAGTGATGAAACATACCTTTGCAGAAATTTAATACTGAGAATTACTAAATTTGCAGTGATTATTGAGAAAGCAGTAAAGAGGTTAGTTTGGGATATAAATGTAAAATAAAATATGTTTGTGTCAAATAATTAACATTTTCAATGTGTTAAGAAGTAACATGCGACGAATATATTATTTTAATACAAAATTTAGAATGGACTTTCTAGGACACGTGAAAAATGTTAAAATTGACGATTTATTTTTTTAATGCATATATTTTGCTATATATATACTGTGTATATACTTTGATATATATATTTATATATATCTAGACCGTACTCTGTGACCGCAAAATAGCGTGGGAATTTAATTATTAAAAATTAAGAATAGCATTATTAATATTTACTTTATTTATACATCATACACATAACTTAGAATCATATTTGGGATAATTTATATATAATAATAACTATGTTAAAAGTAAAACGTAAAGTTAAAAAAATAATAGATTATATGCAATATTAAATTAACTATAATAAGAAAGTAGCTTTCGATGATAGAACTATATGCAATCGGCTATACAATTTCGTTGGGATGCGGCTTAAAGATTCTAATTTAAATTTAAAGGTATACGTGTGTAGAACGAAAGCGGTAGCGACATCTGTTGGTAGCATTGTCAATCTTTTGATATCGGAAAATTATTTCACTATTGACGATGTACTCGGGTGCGTTTGTCGCGTAACCTTAAAAAAGGGGATGGTTCGTCATGTCAGTCTTATCAATCAATGGATAATATTATTTTGATAGTTTGTGTATTGTAAAAGTAAGAAATAGGTTCGCATACTCGGATCAACAACAATGGTGTGCAAGCTTATTCGTATTTCTCAATGTTAATATGTTAACCGATAAAGAATCCTAAAACTAAATTTCACACTGACGCCTGTAGTTTATAATATTTGTCAATTATTACTGATTATTCTCATTATTGATTATTTTTAACTATTATTGACTAACCATTAATAATCTGATTCTGGTTATTGATTATTCTGATCAATTATTACAGATATCGTAACATTTTCTTTATAATACTTTTGATACAAGCTGGACAGAATTATGTATGAGATAATTATATATGAGTAAATATTATATATTCTATTTTCCAGCCGCTGTTGGATAATAGTCCAGCACGAATGCCCACAAATCATGGTACTACCAAGTATAGTAAGCTGGAAAATGAGATCGACAGTCCGAATAGACAATTTCTCAACGATACGATGCATCAGCAGAATACCATGATAAGACAACAGGATGAACAGCTAGATATGATTGGTGAGACTGTTGGTACCTTAAAAACAGTATCCAGGCAGATCAACAGTGAACTGGATGAACAGGCTGTGTAAATAAATTCCTTTGTTATCTTCTATGACATTTTTTCACTTTAGTTCCGCGCTCTCTTGTTTCAGGTATATTTCCTCATTAATTATTAAGGATAAATGTTGCATATTTCCTTCAAATTAATTAACTTTTAAGATGTTATAATGGTAGATTGTTTCAACCATCACAAAATATAAGATATAATTGTAACGCTTCATAATGAAGAACTGACAGAGTTTTGAATATTCTGGATGTATTTACGATACTTACTTTTTGCAGAATGCTAGATGAGTTTGGGAACGAGTTGGAAGCAACGGATTCCAAGCTGGATGCAACAATGAAGAAAATGGCAAAGGTGCTTCACATGAGTAATGGTAACTATAACAATTATATTCCCGCCCCTACCACCGCGTCCTCCAGCGTTTCCGACCTTGTCACTGATAAGCCCTCCTCTTTCTCCTCCTTATCCACCACGATAACCAACTGTTTTCTGTGTTCTAGCGACTAATTAATCATATGTTTCTATAATTGTTCAGTCGGAAAATCATAGAAGGAGATCATGAGATCCGCCTCCTTGTGTATCTCGAGCACGCGTTTTGTTTTGCTTGGGTTTTTTTTTTTCTTTTCGAAATTATTTGTGGCATCAAAAGCACAAAATTAGGAATGTTAAATAATATTTCAGATGTTTAATTAGATGCGAATGTATAATATTTTGCGGCTCGTAGAGATCGCATAGTATATATATATATATTTGCATATATATATTACATCTAAGACCTAATTATATTAGTCCTTACCGCTGCTTCGTAAGATGATGTAGTTTGTTATGTGTAATTAATTAACAAAAGTATCGAAATATCCTCGTTTGAGAGGATAGTGCGAATTTTATCGCGTTATTTAGTGTCGAAAGCAGGGCGGACCAGTTGGAGATCTCAGAGGGAGTGCTCCTGTAATTAAAGTTAATCAACGTAATCTAACCGGCGGAAAGAGTTGAGTAGATTGAACACACACGCAATATGTGATTGTGCCCACCGGCAAACGAAAGTTTAAATTTCAATTTTAATTTTAATTTTAATTTTAATTTTAATTTTAATTTCAATCTATAACGTATATCTCTTCAGTCGCACATGCGTGTGTGATTGAAATGAGTCAGAGTGCTAGTAGTGTTTTCGCCTGAAACAAAATTGGTTGCTCCGAAAACCGAATTCTAACTTGCAGCAGAATTAGTGAAGTAATCGATTGTTTTCTGAAAGGTTCAATAGGCGTTCTTTAGAACCGCAAGCGCCATTAGAATTGAATTAGAACTTGAGTTCCCGCGAAAACATTTTTATTCTGTGGCATGCTACAGCCGCGTATATGCGTATATGCACATATATGATAGAAGTAAGTCGCAGATATACAAAATTTGGAAATGGAATTTTGAATTTCTGCGAACACACAGAGAGGTCGAGAGATTAAATTCATATTCGAATTTATCCTCGAAATCGCACGTGTTAATTCTGTATCTTTGAAAAGATTGACGGTAAATGAATTATTGATGTTAAATAGTTTACTTTAACTTAAGTTAAATAATTAACCGAAATATATTACCTCTTTTAATTAGAATTAGTGTAATTGAAATTACTATAAGATTTTAAACACCGCGATATTAAGATACTCCAGAATAGGAGTATAGGAGATTTTCCAAATTAAAAGAGATATATGATAGTTTAATAAAAAAAGGAAGGAATATTGAGAATAACAATTATATTTTTCCTCGTTGAGAAAGACGATAATTCGTGCATGCGAAAGTCAAGGGAATGTCTGTGTGAATTGAGAGAGGATCGTAGATTGCATACTAGTTACATGTAACCGAATTCGAAGATGTAGTTTATTGTTATCTCTCTCTCTCTCTCCCTNCTCTCTCTCTCTCTCTCTCTCTCTCTCTCTCTCTCTCTCTCTCTCTCTCTCTCTCTCTCATCTTTATGAACAATTGTGAAAAAGGCAAAAGAAAAGAGAATATTGACGAATAAAAAACTGAGAACCGATTTGTATTATCAAATGTAAACGATTATAAATACTCCTGTTCCTCGCTACTTTTTATTATACATATGTTACAATTATAATTATATACTTATTATTCCGTATTATATATATTTTTTATCTAAGTTCAACGTGTGTCGTTCTCGCAATTTTGCCGAGTTTCCCGTTGAATGACAAACACAGATGAGAATGTTGAATAAATAAATTATATATTTAGAAGTATTAACGATTATTGTTAATTATACAAGACATTGTTGCATTTGCATATGAGCGTTTTCGAAAGAGCCCAATATCATATAACTTTAATCCCGATCTCATTCATGAGTGAGACGCATGTGATATTACTTTCCGTTTGTTTTAGATCGAAGACAATGGGTAGCCATTGGAGTGTTGACCACTATATTGGTGTTTTTAATCATTTTGTTCATAATTAAATGAATTATTACACCTTTCTTCCTTCCTCCTTCTCCTTCCCCAATCGTCGCAAATAATATAATAACGATCGGATCCTCTTTTTGTAGCGTTAAGTGTAATCCTAGCTTGTTAAGTCGTACCTGTTTGACAAATTTATTACCGATAGTGAGATTTTATGAACGATACAAATAAATACAGTGTTATTATAATTCAGTGTCGATTTCTTTGAACGTTACATCTCGTTAGATGTAATAACATTAGATATTGCAAATAATACATGTTAATAGTATATTATACATAGAAATTAAAAACCAATTTTTCTCAAGCACGAAAAATAACAGGCGAATTTCAATGAGGTGTAACCTCAACAAAAATCAAAAGAAACAAGCTCGAGGAGCTTGAGAAGTATTTTACAATTATTTTCTAGTTTCTCAGTATATTATCAAATGTAAACTCAATGTAAAGTTTACAAATATTTTTTACAGCGCGCGTAATGTGTTAATATAAAAATCAAATTCTATTAAATACGTATTATAAGTTTTGATGAAACTTGTCAAGTTCCACCGTGTAAGCTGAAAATCACGCACAAATGACGTTTACATTATCTGAAGGTAAGAACTCTTTATTTCACGTTTCCGTAAATGGCTGTCTGATATTTTTTACCATATTTTTCAATAATGAAGCAGAAAATGTTCTTTGGCTTTGATCTCTTACAGAATTGGTGTACGACATTCGATAAGAAATGAATAAGAAGTTGAAGATGTCTTTTTTAATATGAATTTTTTAGACTTTAGATAAAAATAAATTTTTATTATAAGAATTCAACTGAGAGATCAGCTTGGAAAATGAATATTCTCATCATTTTCCGTGTAATATATATTTGGACGAGAAATGGCAACGAAAAATTATTATTAGGTGTACGAATAAGTTTTTAAAATTTTCTTTATAAGAATAATAAAGCGATTTAAGTTTAAGATATTCGATATTTTTTCCTGCGTTTCAGTAATATTGAGTTCGTACTAAGAGAAATGTGTTATTGAAGATAGGACCTACATTTAAAACTACAAACATTCCAGGAAAAACACTATGTTTGATCTATATGGCGCTTTGAAGCATTTGGAAAACTATATTTTAATCAAGAATTTAATCATACAGTTACATTGTTTTTCATTATAATAGTAATTATAAAAATGAAGAAATGTTCGAAATATATAAAGTCCTCCGGTAATAAAACGAGTAATAAAATATTAAAAAAAATAACTCACAAATATACATTTAAATTTAAACTATTTATCAGAAAAAACTAAAAAAAACTAAAAAGCTCTTTAAATTATCAGAGATTGCGTTGAAACATATTTTTACAACATATATAATTTGCATATATTCGCATACATATTAATAACGTTATTAGAAAAAAGTTTGGAGTTAACGTTTATGGTTCCTGGGAAGTCACCGCGGTCATATTGGATTCGTGACGTCAGAAGCGTGAAAAGTGTTGAAAAATCTTGCATGCCATTATTAAAATAAAAAGAAATCTCAATAAAAGGACACGTGAAATCACTTCAATATAATGGTAAAATGTTCCGGCTTCTTTCCTTTCCCCTCGACACCCAATGTAAAGCCGAAAGCAAGCTATGAAATGAGGCCTCAGTCACACGAAAAATACGTAGGCAATAGGAATTTGACACTTATTTTTTCATATCGTTCCTACCAACGTCAGGAGTAAGTCGCGTCTCAGTTTATTTATGAGTTCAATAGAAGAGGACCAATTGTCGCAGGTAATATTTTTGCCGATTCTGTGAATCGGGCTTGAAAGTTCGCGCACATAATAAGCTGGCATTTTCCAATCTTTTAGTTAGAACTCTCCCTATATATGGAATGAACATATACGTTTTAGAATCATTTGTAAACATAATTTTTATACCATATCTTTACATATCGACATATCGAGTTTACTTTTGGCGTAAACTATCGCAAAAATTTCCCTCTAAAATCAAAAAGCAATTTTTCATCTACAGTGCAATTCTGCGGAGGAGCATAGTGTTTTTTGCAATTTGCAACAAACATGTCCCAAATTTCTCTAATCGTCATTCTATCGGTAAATCTTTCCTTATAGTTTTATCGTCGAAGCGTATGCACGAGCCCAAAAAACGAAACGGTTGCGAGACATGACAGCTCTGTACATTGCGCAGCCGTTTTCCTTCCATATACTTTTTGTAGTAACATGTCCATGTTTTTGTAATCCGGCGAAATATAATAAGCCGATAGATGAATGCTTTCATCTCTACCAAATTTGTCTTGTAATAATACACCTAACTCGATAAATTGACCACTTTCCGGTCAATTTCTTCATTCGCATGCTTCATTATAATGTTTAGCAAGTCGTCAACGCGTTCAACAGGCGTTCTCACTTTATTTGCTCCTTTGCAGCCAGGCGAATGCCTGATAATCGATTTTCTCTCCCTCGACTCGGGAGCCTTCGCACTACACTTGTAATTGTTTTTCCCGTACAAATATTCCCTCGGACGACCTGTGCTAGTCGACGGTTTTTCTTGCGCTTCCTCCTCAAGGTTGATCGTCCGACTAAACGTGTCATCATCATCGTCCAATCCATCCTTCTCACTCTCCGACAGCACGAAGTCCTCCTTATCGCTCGCCTCCTCCCCAAGAGGCTCGGTTTCTTCGTCCTCGCATGCAAGTAACACTTGTTTGACGCCTCAATTCGACTCTCCAAATTTTCCAAATTCATTTTCTTCAAAAACAGCTGTTTTTTTTTAACAAATCACTTTTATCACTTTGGTTAAATGGTTCACCCAAAATCTCGTTTTTGCACAAAAGGGACCATCACGTTCAGTACAATAATGGGTTTTCAGTGCTCGGCGCAGATTCATCCCCGTCGGCGTTCGAACAGAAATTAACGGCCACGGTCGACCCACTGCACACAGGTTCTCCCCACTACTAACTTTTTTTAGGGGAGTGGGGAGGGTTAGGAGTGGAGGACTCTTCGACGCTTCGAGAAACTTCCGAAAGAAAAATCGGTCGGGCACTAAAGAACCATGATTGTACCGTAAAGGTTAATTGTGTAGATATGATTTATGACATACTTGTCAAACCTGTAGAAATGGACGAAAACCAAGATTAGCTTGGAATTTTATACGTGGAAATATATTTTCCACTTCTTTCAATAGCTGTGAAACAGTGTATGTTTCTGTACGAATAGGGTCTTATTTCACGGTTTTACGGTTATTTATTGACTGTCAAGAGGAAAGGGGAGAGTTTTTGTCCATTTTTACGAGCGATCTTAAGTATTGTTTTATTATTGTTATTTTGTTATTATTGTTATTGTTTTTGTTAAGTATTTTATTCAAATATTTTTCTATTTGCGACGGCACACAATACTTCTCAACATGTCATTTCTCATGACATCGGAAATCCAATATGGCCGTGGCGACTACTTCGCATCCTTAACACGTTCGCTACCAGGGTCTGAGAAGAAAATCTTGCACCACAGCCCAGGATGTTTTTTGTTAGAATATGTCCCCAATTGACATGGGTCTTTTTAGGATATATTTATAACATAAAAATCTAATTATCTCTAGACCAAGGGCATTCTATATCTATTTTATTGTTTTTTAGCTCAACAATACCGTTCACTTCCAAATTTATTGCAATACGTTATCGTAAACTGATAAAGAACACGCACCGCACATCAGCGGCGGTGGGTTCAGATACAAGAATCGGGACGCCGCATAAATGCGGTGGTGGTAGCGAACGTGTTAAATAATGAATATGGAAACATTACGGAGCGACACTCGCGTTTCGGTCAACATACGCCAGCGACTGTTTTGCGAACACACATTCATGACGCGCATTAATTTGACAGAGAATGAAAGAAAATATCGCAGGTAAATACACGAGTTAGAAAAAATGAATGATAAGACGAGTAAAGAACATTTTCCCGTTTTTTATTATCATATATAGATCATATATTTTCTGAAAACACTTAATATATTGTACTTAAGATAGCAATATTGTAAGTTTATTGGACATGCTGGTTGGGTCGTGACGCTGTCTGCTGCGTGGCAGTGGTTCAAGTGGAAAATCCATAAATTATTCTCTCTCTCTCTCTCTCTCTCTCCTCCCTTCTTCTACCCCTTCCTCTATCTCTCTCATTCGCTCACTCATTCTCTCTCTCGCTTATTCCCTCATTTTTTTCCTATCACTCTCATTCTCTCCGGCACTTCTACGATGATCATCGAATCGGGGGAAGTGTTCTTAGCATACGCGCGCGCGCGCGCGCGACACACATATCATACATACGCGTGCGACATGTACACTACACGAACACATATACACACACGCATACACACACACGCATACGCGCGCGCGTGCGCGCATACACATATATACACACACATGCACACAGATAAACACGCACACATACCACGCAGGGGCGAAAAAATACATTTATAAAATTATTCGTTCAACCAATACTCGTTTGACCATCGTTCAACACTTTCTCGTTCTCCGAAGAGTCCGAATTGGGCTTAATCGAATATAAGGGGATATAAGTCCTCTTCTCTCCCTCGTTTTTCCCTTTTCTTTTCCTCTATAATAAAATAGAGCGCAATACTTCGCAAGCGTTTCACATCAAGTCGACCGGCCTGTCAATACGATACGAAATATTGACGTGAATGATAATTCAACGCGCGCGCGCGCGGATACATGTGTCTTTTTCTCTCCGTTTGTCGTCTCTAAGTTATCGCTAAAAACGTCTGCGCGGTAAATCGACACTGCGTATTATGCGCGGTGTACGCGTATTTATATTCGCGTGTACGTGTACGTATGATTAGTGTGTGCGCGTGTCGTGCGAGTGTCCACTCCCTCTCTGTACCGTATCGCATGTATGTATGTGCGTGCGTGCGTGCGTGCGTCGTGCATGCGCGCGCGCGCGCGCGTGTATGTGTGTGTGTGTGTGTGTGTCACGGATATATAATTGCGAGGGGGAATAGGGTTGGGCGCAGTTTCAGGCAGGTTCCATCCAATTACAGATATATTATATCATATCATAGCAAACATCGTGACTATTTACAATAAATACAGTCTCGATTAAGTTATATAAATAAAATATATATAATATCGTATAGTTAGGTTTAGGTTTACAGCAACACGTGACAGTAAACAATTAGATCAGCAGCAAAGTAGCGTAATCTATCTAGGGTAGTGGTCGTAGTAGCTTTAGCGTGGCTGACTCTTTTGTTTCTCTCGCGCTCGCTTATTCCCGTGTATCTTTCATACTCATGCGCTCTCTCTTGCTCTCTCTCTCTCTCTCTCGTTCACTCGTTCGTTCACTCATATGTTCGCGCCTGCATATCCATAATATCTGTCACGTTTACGGAATTCTTACTTTTTTCTCACCGACATGGAGTCGCCTTCGAGTCCGAAGAAATCGCGCGTCTCGAGAACCAATCACGCCGTAATGCGTGGATCGACGGTTACTGCTATAATTGGCCACTCTAGCTTCTCCCTTGTATATATTTCCTTTCAATATATTCATATATTTATTTATTTATTTATTCTTATTTATTTATTTATTTATTTATTTATCTTATATAATTATTCTTTCTTTCGCGCGCTCTACTTCATTTTTTTTATTTAGAGAAGTACATGGAATTGTCGTGAGCCCCTCTGTGGGAGCCGAACGAGTTTGGAACGAGTTTCGCAAAAAACGAGATGAAACTTCACGGAAGTTAGAGGGCGAATTCCTTTTTCCTATTATTGTGTAATCCGCGAGACAGTCGGATCTTGTTGAGTGGAGTATCCTCCGCTTTTATTTGCACAACATATTGCAGCTGATCGACCCACTCGTTAATTTGACACGTGATATTTAAAAATAGTTAATTCATCTTAAATGCACACCATTATCAGGCCCAACGATGAATAATATAGTTAAAGATCAAAAATGTATATGTGTGTCTGTATTTGTGCGTGTATGTGTGCGTGTGTATGTGTGTAAGAGGCAACGGACAGGTGGGGGCTAACTGATCAGGGAAGGACAGTGAGTGTTCAGATGTTCATGAATCTCGAAGCTGTGCACTCTTACTTTGCTCGCCTGTCGAGAGCCAAAGCCTTTAAGAAGCGGACTGAGATTACCTTTGTTGTTTTTATTTCACTTTTTTTTTTCTCGAAACGACAAATGTCGGCTGATGCTACTTTTCGGTCGTAATCGCGATCATCAAGCGGAGTTAATCGTAGCGTACGGTAACAACGCGACCCGAGCGAAGATGATTTCTTAGGTAAGGATTGATTCGAAGTGCCGAAGCTTTACAAATTGACGATTGAATTTTGCAAGAAGTCAATTTAAACGGTTTCAGTTATGTCAAATAATCGATGGAAAAGAGTTCAGCTCAACGATTCGACTTCATTCGCCGTCGTCCGCGAGAGAGAACTTAACGATAATTGCGCGCACGAGATGCTGATTAAACGGCGCGGATTCTCAACGGGTCTCGCGATCTACGCATCGTTTCGCGCATACGTGCGATAGGAACGAGAAATGTACAAAAAGGATCGCCCCGGTGGCTTTGTCGGCACGAGTGCGCGCGTATCTCGAATTGGAGCTCGTTTTGGACCGCGATTCATAATTGCCCAGACACCCAGACGTGGTGTCTGAAACAAACGCGAAGGCGCCCGAAGAACATCTCCCGATATCCCAGGTATCGAAAAGACGTGCCAATCTTTCGGACATCCCTTACAGACATCTCTCAGACACCTTTCAGACACTTTTCGCGTTGTCAAATGGTGTAGGTCTAAACACTCGCTCGAGTAAAAATATCTTAGAAAGTTTTCCTATCTATACATTTTTTTTCTCTCCGTCTCTCTCTCTCTCTCTCTCTCTCTCTCTCGCTCTCTCTCTCTCTCTCTCTCTCACTTTCTCTCACTCACTCCCTCTTTTACACACATAGCATATAAATAACGGTTTATTTTTCTTCATCTATTCAAACAGCAATGTATCGTGCCACTAACTATCCATAAAGCGGCGGTCGCCTCTAAAGCCGCGCTTTGCAAAATATCAATGACAAATACGAACACTCGTGAAGACGCGAGCAAACAATACACGCGCGAGATACATTCGGGATCCGTTGCGGAGAAGTTTGCGGAGAGGGGGAGGGGGGAGAGGGGGGGGGACGAGGGAGTAGAAACGGAAGGATTGACCGGAGGTGACGAGAGGTGAGATAACGAAAAGGATGCTCTCGATGCTAACGGGCAATGCCCTCGACGCGATGTGTGGATTTCACGCGCGCGAGCAATCGGCACATACATACATGCACGCGTATACGGTGATGAAACGATCGGTACTTGGCGGACAGTTAATTTTGGATACACATTTAGTTATTCTCGATGAGGAAACATAGTTAACGTTCGTTACGTTTCATATCCAGCAAGCACAAATATGCGATAATGTTATATACGTATTATTTTACCGACTTTTTAATGACTTTATTTTCTCTCTTATTATTTTCCTCGTTTCTCGGCTTATACGTCGCAGACATCAACTGATACGCTCTTCCCTTTGCGATTTCCACCAACGGGATTCCTACCGTCGATCCCGAGCAACTATATTTCTCTCTCTCTCTCTCTCTCTCACGCTTGCACACACAATGCAATGTTAATTACCGATCGACGACGATCGGGAACGCTTATGCTACAGGTAGGACACATCCACATGTTAAAAATATGTTTAGTCTCGCTATTCGGTATTCCATATCTTCATGCACGCCCATTGTAGCAATCATCATTCCAACAATTCTCTCTCTCTCTCTCTCTCTCTTTCGCTCGCTCGATCATCAGCTGCTCGTTCGCTCGTACAAGAAAAGCACCACTTTATAATACAAATTTATCTCGTCCTTAACTGCCTAAGCCGCGAACGGAATTCAAGCTCGAGACCGCACGATCGAGTCCGCACGATCGCTGCTCTTCTTCGAGGACATCGAGAGGAGACACCGCTCCAGCTTCGATTCCGCGTTTTTCTTCATCTTTTTCTCTCTCTCTCTCTCTCTTTCTCTCTCTCTCTCTCTCGGGGCCATTCATTGTTGAGACGCGTTCCGCATTCGCTCTCGGGTGATCGGTGTCCACCGTTACACGTTACCAACGTCGATATTTGCGAACATCTAAGTACGACGTTGAGGTGTCGCGCGGATCAACGGGGCCGGTCGAGCGAACACATGCGTAGCGTCCACCACATCATTACGTAACATTTACGAACAACATCGGTTTCTTTCGGTTCGCACACTCTCGCCTCGCATCATCTTTACCCTATCACGAAAAAGTTTGCTACGTCAATGTAAAGCTATGTATTGACTAGTTTCTCTCACTCTCGATTCGCCCTCAACGACGAATGGCCGCGCGGTTGCCCGATTTCCTCTTCCCTCCCTCTGCTCCTTCGCTTATTTCTCTCGTTTTTTTTCTTTTTTTCTGCGATAGTAGATATATAGTATCTATAGTTATCTTGTATTAATGCGACGTACCGTTGCGCGTGCGTAACTACGGTCCGCCGTTTGTTTAGGCCTCGAGCGCAAGCTCGACGAGCTTGCCGGCCTTGCGCGAACGTATTCCCATTGTATTCGAATTGCATCCGAATCCGGCGAGCCGGCGAAGAAGAACTCCAGCTGCGTCAACGTCACGTCGGATCTCCGAGATCTCGCAATGTCGCTATCTCCCCTTCCACGTTCGTAGTCGCGAGATCGGATGATACACACTATTCCCGACCTCATCCTCCCTTTCTTCTTCTCTCTTTCTCTCTTCCTCTCACTCGCTCTATCCCTCTCTTTCTCTCTCTCTCTCTCTCTCTCTCTGTCGCTATAAGGCTTTCGCGGATCTGCCAATCGCGTTTCGGTCGCACAGCTGGTCCGTGGAGTCGATGCTCGGTAGAACCCGCGTTCTTCCGCGTGTTTCAACGTTCTTACACACTATACCCTATTTCTCGCGGTGTATATATATTTATAATATATATGTATATATATATATGTGTGGATGCACATATACATTACATACACACACACATACACATAGATATATATAATAACGTTATAGTGTTTTTTGGCATCTTTGAAATACACAAATAGACTTTGGTATAAAACTTTTTGATAGTATTCAGTACGTTTATAATATATATATGCGTACGTACGCATATATACAGAGAGACACGCTGCGCGTCGTACTCTGCAGCGGCATCGACCTTCACCACCACCACCCACCCCTTCCTTTCTTTCTCAGCCGTATTCTCTCTCGCTCTCGTTGCTTCGGTTGCTTCGTCGCCTAATCGAAAGTCTGCGCGGCCTCGGACTGGACAATGTCCCCACGCGAAGGGGACGGTACGTACGACTCGGCGTGCCGACGGTGTGAACAACGTTTCTAGCACATCTTGTCCAACCACCAGAGCTTACAGGACGGCGCACCTCTCCTTCTGCGTCGCTTCTTGCTCGACTGGTCGACCGCTTTCTTCGCGAACCTGATGTTGTAGGGATCCTCGGCGAGTTCGGGGTACTGTTGCACGTCATGTATGTACTCGCCGTCGTAGTTGCTCGCGACACCGTTCTTCTGTATCTCGTCCTGCTCGGTGGCCATCCACTCCACCGACGTGGGTATGTTCGCTTTGAGGGCCTCGCGCTCCCGGTGCCAGGCCTTCCTCACGGCGCTGGTTTTCGCATGATGCAACAGCCGCTGCTTCTCCTTCTCCGCCGTGGTGCCGTAACGCAGGTTCACCACGTAACTGGCGCCATGTATCTTCACGTCGATCAGCGAGCCGCCGCCGCTACCGCTGCCGTTCTCGTTCTCGTGGAAGGTCGTGTTCACTTGGCCGCCCAGCCGCTTCAACTGGCCGCGGTCCTCGCTCGCCCGCCACGTCTCCTCCTTCACGAAGTAAAAAGCGTCCTGCTGCGCGCTGTGCACGACGAACGTGAACGGCAGGAAGTACGAGCGATTGAACACCGACGTGAACACATCGCCATAGATGGCGTTGGCAGTCGGCACGCTGGACACCACCGCCTGGCCGTCCGCCGTCCTCGAGACCAGGATGCCTTTGCCAAACGGCGGGTCGGACGCGGCGCCCAGCCGATTCGGTATCAGCTCGCTGGTGTCCTTCTTCAGCGCCGATCGCGGCGGCGCGGACAGGCTGACGGCGTCGCCGGAATGCCTCTGGGCGATGTGCGCGAGGAAGCCGGACTGAACGCTCAGGTTGCGCATTCGTTTCTTCTTGCCGAATATGGAAGTGCCCGGGCCGAGCGCCGGTGGCACCAGACTGTCCGGCAGCTCGTCCGGGAACAACTGCGGCGCTAAGCTCTTCAAGTCGTATCCGAGATGCGACAGCCATGATATGTGATCTGAAATTAGGTCGGAATGCGTCAGATATCGGACCGGTGCAGAGTTGGTTCGTCCAGTGGCGGATGCTGCCTTTTCGGGGCCTGATGCCGACATCATTTTTCATCTTAACAGCACTCTTAGTAAATAAAGTAAAAAGTTATGTAAAAGTAACTGAAATGGAGTCCTGATACTCCGGTATCACTCTAGTTTCTATATAAATTCGTCACTGAGTTTATCGATGTTATAATAGGCTCCCACCTGTCGGTTGACTCGACCTATCCGTATGCCTGACGTTGATCGGATCGTTCCCGTTGAATCTGTAAAGATGTAAGTGCGTTGGCTTGTCCACCCTGTCCAGGACGTTCTCCCAGAGTGGCGACATCCATTGGCCGATCAGTGGGTCGTAAACCTTTCCGTTTCTCATGTGAACCAAAGACGTCACCTGCAAGTCAAATTACCTTAGCATATGCGAACAAGCGCGCGGTTGTATTCTGATCCTGAAAGAATGACTTGACTCTAAGATACTTTTATATTATTACGCTAACTAAATATCACTTTTAATGTAAAATAATTATCGCATTATTGGAAACACACTTTTACGAATTAACTAATATTTAATGAACAGCTTATAACCGTTATTTCAATTATATAATATTTCAGCAAATTATATAACCGTTATATAACGTTTTAATAACATATTATATTTTTATGTTATACGATTACAACTTCGTATATGAATAGGAAATTACATTTAACCAATGTTTGTCTAGATAAAATTATTCAAATAATCATCCAGATGAATAAATAAATAATCTTTATCTTGGTGAAAGAAATACAAAATATATTCATCTTCATCTTAGATAAAAAAAAAACATGTTATCTTATTAAAAATTATGTGAAATGATGTTATAATCCATATTCTGAATTTACTTTTCGACAAAATGTGTTAAGTCTATGTCAAACTAGGATTGGAGATTAGTTTTCAACGAATCAACGAATTTCGGTTTTGTCCCCTTTGATTTGTTCTTTTTAGCTGCACTGCCGATGCAACTAAAAAGGACGGACTATTTGTTTCAATTGATCAATCCACTTAAAGCCCGCATCAAACTGTCAACTGTGAAGACCACAGACGTATAATAACTAGATTGTGCATTCAGTCGAAGAGTCGTCAAATGTTAGAGAGAGATAGTTGCTGTACTGGTATGTAACTGTCATACATTTGTGTTCACTGAGCCCTGCAAACACCAACTAACAGTAACATTGTTATACTCCCCCGCTCATACATGCAATATAACGTGTGTTATGTAACAGTTATATTATCGAGTGGGAAATTATAGCATTGATGTTACGCCTAGGGAGTTATTTACCTGGTCCAAGAGTCCGCCGCAGAAATCGACCGGCAGATACAAGTAGGGGTTGGAATCGTAAACGATGTGGCCATAGGGCGAGCGCATGATCTCCCTGATACCCTCTCCGTATTGATTGAAGATCATGATGGGCGTGCCGCACTGATCGGTGGCGATGTAGTACTTGTGACGGTACACCTGTGCGAATATCAGATGCCCCCTGTCGTCGTACACCAGCGACATCAGTTTACCGTCGCGCGGGCTGTATATCTGGCTGACCTCGTGCGGCCGCTTCTGGTTGTTATAGAAGAATTGCGTGACGTTGCCGTAATTGTCCTTCCTGGTGGCCAGGCGATCCAGATGATCGTAATAGTATCGCACGTCGAAGCGGCCGCGCTTGGTGGCGCGCACGAGCAGACCCTTGGCGTTGTAATTGAATCGCTCCTCCCGCGCGTTCTGCACCACCAGACCCCGGTTGTCGTACTTGTAGAGGCCGTCGCCGAACTTGACTATCCGGTCCATACTGTTGTACTCCATCGGGATCGTGTTACCGCGATAAGTGAGCGACAGCATGTTGCCGTTCGCGTCGTACTTGAAGCTCCACGGCTCCTGCGCCTCCACGCCGGTCAGCTGACCGTCGCAGTCCCACGTGTAGTTCTTCACATTGGTGTACGTGTTGACGGCGACGTTGCGGGTGTACGTCCTCGTCTGATTGATGCGGCCGCGCGAGTCGTGCGTGAACGTCATCCGGAACACCTGCATCCGGTGGATGGTCACGGTGACCTCGGTCTCCAGGAACCTGTCGTCCGTGGTGCGCGAGAACAGCGCGGTCCCGTCGAACACGGTGGTCTCGTTCGGCTGCGGCCGCGTAACCTTGAACTGGCCGACTTGCTCCAACGTGCCCGACCTCGGGCTGTACGCCATCGTGTGCGGCGGTAACGTCTGCCCGCCTATTCTGCCCTGCACCGCGACCAACCGGAAGTTCGAGTCGTACTCGAAGGTGAACTTGGCGTTGCTCAGGCCGGTCTTGGCGCCGAAGTCGATGCGCTCCTCCACCAAGAGGCCCGCGCTGTACTGGTAGTCCCACTTGTACTCCACGTCCCTCTCGGAGTGTATCACCTCGGAGGGCAGTCCGCTGTCGGTGTACCGGATCTCGCTCTTGCCGTCCCCGTGCACCACCTCCGCCAATTGACCGGATGTGTGATACCTGTAGACGATGCGAGCCCCGTCTCCCGGGAACACGGTTTGCAGCAGATTCCCGTCGTGACTGTAGTGCTGCAGATAAGCTCGGGTGCTGCCGGGCGGAGTATACGTGACTCGGAGGAAACCGAGGGAGGCTTGGCAAGAGAAGGAATGCTTGGTCTCCGAGGGTAAGATGATGTGCCGCAGCCCACCGTCGTCGTCGTACTGCAGGGAGAACTCTCTGTTGCTAGCGAGCGTGATCTTCGACAGCATGTTGAAGTCGTTGTAGGTGTATCGCTTCGTGCCGTCTTTGCTGTTGGTGACCTCCGCCAATTGGCCGTGCCGATCGTAGCCGTAGGACTCGTCGGATATGCCCCATTTCCAGCTCTCGATCCTGTTGAACCGATCGTACGTTACGGTGAGATTGTGGCCTTGCTCGTGCGGCTGCCAGACTAACGGCAGACCCGCCAGATCGAAGGTCACCGTTAACAGGGGTGTGCCCGTTTTGTCGTAGAACGTCTCGCGGCTGAACGCCTGCTCGAACTCGACGCTTATCACCCTCGTGTCGTTCACCCAGATCTCTCGGTTGAGGGTCTGCTGGAAGTGACTCACGTCCCCGACCAGATTGTACGTCGTTGTCATGGTGTTCGTTAATTCACCGAGCGATATCAACTGGTAACTCCACATAGGCAGCATCTCCGCCTCCACCGGCAACGACACTTCCAACAGTGGATGCTTGGTCGTGGCGGCGCTCAGCACTCGACCGCCACCGGGCAGAAAGGCTTCCAGGCTGCTGTTTGTAAACGCGATCGCTTTCATCAGCTTCGTGCCTGCGAGTGAGAAATTATGCGTTACTTTGGATTAATCTGATTAACCGTAGAATACTAACCCTTATTATAGGATTATGTCTTTAAACCTACAACTTAGAGAAATATGAAGAGATTAAAAGGAAAATTTTTTTAACATAACATGTGTAAATTGTCAAAATATGAAGCAAAATAGTAGTTTTGGTGAGAAGTAGGGGGAGACTTCTCTGTTCGTAAAAATTATCTACATTATCTCGGGGACACAGGTTAATATATTAGAATTAATATTGTCGGGAAATATTCTCGTTCTCTCATGAAACGTAAAAAAAAAAACGAAGAAATACGTAAGTAATTCTTCATGATTTCTTGATAGTAGATTGGCATATGACAAATAACGGGTTAAGTGAAAAGTTAAAAAAATAGCTTAGATATGCACCGTCAGTGATCGTCAACATTTTTGACTTCTCATTTTTCATCTTGAATTCCACGAATCGTTGCTTGTCACCCTTCGATAAAGCCTGCAACGGAGCGGACACTTTAACCGACAGATCTTCGTCGTCCGACAGATCCGATGATAACTTCAATTTCTCGCCCGTTGGCAATATTACGTCGGTGACGCGTCCCAAGCTGTCGTAGTTGTATATGTACGTTTCATCTCCCTGAAATTTGCAATAAAATATTATTAAGTGAATCAGATTAATCTTTATTACATTCAATAAAAAGGAATTATTCAATAATCAAGAAATCACGCGCACCTTTGCCGCTTATGATTCTTCACTAACATTTTAGTAATATTCATACACCTCTGTCATTTGAAAGAGGCAAAAAATGGAACCAAGCTTTTTGACCAACCAAATATATTTGTTCGATTAAGGGCCCAGTAAGCAAGGAACATTAAATTAATATTTAGAAATATTGACTTTGTGTGTATTTTTGGAATGTTTTTAAATATAATATTACATATATATTTTTAAAATATTATTTCGTAATATAATTTTTCTGAATATTGCTAAAATATTTTAAAAATATTATAGAAAATATTTTTTTTAATGTTACTTTGACATAACACTTTTAATGACACTTTGATATGTTTACTTGAGATCGATGCAACAGTTCAAAATTGCTTTTAATTTGGACTTAGAAATAACGTTGGTAATATATTAATTTTCTGCTATTATAATATTATTTTTTGTATTGTTTTAATATATTCGAATCTCGCTTTCTGTCCACCATTTCAAGGAATTGTATGTGTGATAACTTAGATAAGAAGTGCAATCCTATTATCGTAATCGCAACAATCATGTTCGCATGTTCTCATGGCTGAGTTTGTCTTGCACGATTTCATGCTAAAAGTATCATTCTATTTTCTTTCGGCATGCAATGAGCAGTAAAAGTAAAATAATACTTTCAGCAAGTATGCAAGATGGACTTAACCCATGTGTGACTTTGGTTAGCCAGTAAATAATAATAAAAAGGCCATTACCAAAATCTCTATTCTTGAAATAATTACGTATACGTACCATTGCGCAAATATAATCATATCATATTATAGTTGGGCGACAATACTTATGTACACACAACTATTTCAAAAATAGAGCCGCAGAGCAATATTCATAGATATCATTGATAGTACGTTTAAATTCGATCGTTTCATTAATATTATTTCAAAAATATTATGAGAATGATAAAGAACCTTAGCGCAATGTTATTTGTAATGTTATGACACTCCCATTATCAAAATCTCTAAATCAGTGTCAAAGTTTGTTCATAATGATATTGCATACAACATTAAATACGACATATTAGAAAATGTCACATATTATTGAATGTTGTAATAACATCGCAGTAATGAATTTTCGTTTATTGGAGAGACGCCAAATCGATGACAAATCTAATAAGTGTCGATAACGCAGAAGCGATCTTTAAACTGTTGTTACATGAACACTAACACGATCACGCTATTCTTCTTATATTTCGTATATACATGTAGATTTTACATAAATGAAAGTGCATATAATAGTAAAAATAAATATAAGCGTGAATGGAATGAATATACGTTACTCTGTCTCAACATATCTAACGAAAAATCTGCCCAAGATATTTGAAAATTTTGTTTACAAAAATTTCCACCAACTTTTTGTATCTTTTTATGTTTCTAAATTTAACTAGATAGAATTATTTTGAATAGAAATACAAAAATATTTTTTCGACATTTTCCTGATTGGAAACATTGACACGTTCAATAGTTGCAAGATTTTTCAGATAAATATTTACGCTAATTGGCAGCTAGAGATGTCAATTTTTTTGTTCGTTTTCGTCACATACTGAACAATCCTCCAATTCATTTTCACGCGTGCTTTCACTGTGTGAAAAGCATTTATAATCCCGTGAAACCAATAGAACGTAAACTTTGCAGAAAAAATCGGTATTTTGCCGGTGAAGTTTTCAAGCGTGGCATCGTAATGGGATTCATTCATCGTCGATGAAGTTAAACATTTCTGTCTTACCCCAGATCGACTGGTAAGCAAACCGGTCGAGCCGTCGTAGCCCAAAGCGATCTCGGCCCTACCGCGTTCGGATAATTTCTCCAGGAATCCGACCGCGGAGATCTTCAGCTCGGACTTGTGGTCCTGAGTGTTCTCGATAGAGCTGACGACGCTGCTGTAGTCCCGCAAGAACTGGATCTTATTGCCCGCGCTATCCGTCACCGTGGACAGCTTGCCGAAGCTCGTGTTCTTGCTGTACAAGAAAGAGTAGCGAGTCTTGCCGGACGTCAGGTCCTTCGTGGAGATATGTTGGCCGTAACGATTGAACACGTAGATCTCGTTCGACGGTGGAAACGGAATATGAAACTCCCCGCTCTCGTCGTGATTCGGCAGGTACGGCTGCAGCGCCAGGATGTGAAGACTGCCCTGATCGGCCACGTGCAACACCCCGTCGGGCGAGACCGCCAAGGCGGATATCGCGGTGAACTTGGCGTTTGACGACAGAAGTGTCTCGGTGCTGCTGATGTCGTCTGTACAGGCGCACGCGTCCATGTCTTTGGTGCTGGGCGTCGTGTTGTTGCACTCGCACTGACCGCGCAATCTCTCTTGCTGCTGGCCGGCGAAGTGCGACATTTTGCCGGACGAGTCGACGATTCTGATGGAATTCACCCGGTGGGAGTCGCGATCGGCTATGTAGAGCTCGCCGGTGGGACTGAAACCGACGGCTAGCACCGAGCCGAGCACCTCGTCCGACTTCTTCGAGTTGATCGTCATCGATGAGTTCAACTTGGGCAGCTCCCCGTTGCCGTTGCTGTTGCTGTTAGCATTACTGGTGCAATGAAGGGGCGTGCCGGCAACTACACGCACTTTCAGGTCGCTGGTGAGCTTTAAGACCAGCCTGTCGTCGATGAAATGCAGAGATCCGTCCAGCGGGCTCAGGGTTAGTCCGGTCGGCCACTGTAACTGGGCCTGGTGCGCCGGAATGGCGCCGGTGCAGGGCGCGGGTGACCAGTGATTGTGGTGACCGTGATGTCCCACGAGCGTGTGTATGATACCTCGTGGATCGACCGCGCGGATGTTGGTCCCATCGGCGATGTACATCGTCTTGTCGGCCGCGATCGCGATTCCTGCGAATAACGTCAAGTCACCCTATTATCTCATATTTTATATATTGATATTTTGGATTTAGATTTATGAGCGATGATATTTTGCACGGTATACCTGAAGTATATCTCGAAATTTCTTAGGACAGAATCTCATTCGAAACAGACGAAAACCGGCGATATTTTCATTCAAAACAGTACTGAAAGTACCGCCCGCTCGAAGTTGTAAGAGTGAATGTTTCATTCAAGCTTGGAGTGGATCTCGACTCCAAGTATGAAGCGATTGTTTCGATCGATCAGAATGAATATACCCCTGCGATGATGGAATACGTCGGATTCATCCTTCAATTTCGAGTGAAAATATTCAGTCGACGATTCAGAGTGGAAAATTCACTTCACATGTACAATTGCTAATTAATGTGGAAACTGTGAAGCTTGGAAGGATCTGCAGTATCTCCAGAAATTCATTAACTTCTAGTAAATCAGAGTTATGAAAATAGGGAGAGCATGAAATACACACACACACACACACATATATATATATATATATATATATCAATAAGTATATAATAGATAGATAGAAAACTAAATTAAATAAATAAATAAGTAAAAATCAAATTATAAAGAATAGGAAATTTAAATTCGAGCTATAAGATTATGGGAAACATAAGGAAATTTTTGAAAGTTGTCAATAATCTATGAAAAATTAGACAAATTGTTACATTTAATATGTCCCAATATAATTGGACAGTCAATAAGATAATTAAATAGATTATAAACAAAGACAAAATTGTAAATCATCCTCCTCTTCCGTAATGAGCATGTTCAGTCATTTTTCATTCCTACAGAATAAATTTTCCACTCCGAATCGTCGAGTAAATGTTTTCGTTCGAAACTGAAGAGTGAATTTGATGTATTTCATTGTCACGAGAACCAATTCACTCCGATCAATTCGAACAATCGCTCGTACGGGGTCAGAATCTATTCTAAGTTTAAGTAAAACATTCACTCTTGCATTTTTGAGCTACAATATTTTCACTGTCGCCTCGAGTGAAAATACTTTCACCTTTTACTCGTTTTGAGGGAGATCCCACTTCAAGAAATTTAAAAAGCAGACACACATCAATTTGTACATCAATCTGCGAGTCTCACCTTTGGGATGAGCCAATTTCGCATGAATAGCCGGACCTTCGTCGCCGCAGTGACCTTCGTCGCCTGGAATGCATCGCTCACCACTTCCAACGACGGACTCGATATTGATGCTGGGATCTTGGACTTGTTCCAATGAGAGGGCCTTCAATATTTGATGCTTCTCCGGATCGCTGATGTACAAGTGCCCGTCAGCCGGCGAGATGCACAAGTAGTACTGATACGCCACTTGAGTCGCGCTGAAAGACATTAAGATATAAGAGAATCTTAGAATCGTTCTGTTTTACCGCAAATTTCTTAATATTATATTAGTTACTACAGACGCATAGAAATGCATTAAAAATCCTTTTTTGCACAGTTGCAATCAGAGACTCGGATCGAATGAAAATATCGGCCCGATTCCGGTTCCGGTTCACTAAAATATTTAATAAAGGTTCCGGTTTCGGTTTTCTAAACAATGAAAGTACCGATACCGTTTGAATTATGATTTTTTCGGTTCCGGTCCTTAAAATTTATTTCCTTACATTTATTTAATTAAATTATATATATATATATATATATATATATATATATAATTTAATTAATATAAAATAATATATATATATATATATATACACGGTATATATACTATGGTATATATATACATATTTAAATATTTTTATATCACTTGTTCCTGTGTGTGCATTTCTACCAGATCAACTGACATATAGATAAAATATTAATTAGAAAAACAAGAAATAAATAATATCTCCATGTTTGTAATATTATACATATACATACTTGCCTTAATTCCGCTCAAAATTAACATTTATTGTTCAGATAATTAAATAAAGTTATATAGGGAAGTATTTTTTTCGGTAAACAATAAATTTATGAAGGGTCCCCTTGATATCCTCTGAAAATCTGGCATTCTACAGACCGACTATTTTAATTTGGCTCCTGGATTAGCGCCGCGTCCTTTAATTATGATTTCATTTCGCAAACATTCTAATTCACAAAGGATGCGGCGCTAAATGAAGGAAACTGAATGAAGAACTTTGTGAATACCTCAGGATCAGGACGGTATAGACCTTTCCTTCGGGGGTAATCCGCCGTACAAGGTTGAAGTCCCCGACGTAAATACTGCCGTCGGGCCCGCTGGTGAGCGCCACCGGGGTCAGAAGTCGGGCGTCCTTCGCGAGGCCGTCGCAATTCTGACACACCAAGCTTCTCTGCAAGCCGGTACCCATCACCACCTTGACGGTGCGCGGATACTGTTTGAAGTGGAGAGTCGAGCCATCGCCTTTCTGCAGAATCCCCTCGTGGAAGTTGTAATGGTGATGGATATCGAGTCCCCAGCCGCCTATGTCGGAGATATCAACGTCGAATCCTTGCAAAGTGGCCGTCTGAGTCTCCCATATCACCGACGGGCAAGTGGAATGCTGGTAGCCGATCGAGATCCTCGCCTGTGCCACACCGTACACCTTCTGCTTATAAACGTTCCTCTTGTTCCACGCGAACGTGTGCGTCAGATTCGGATCGGCCTCGTACGTTTTCGTGTGAAGCGAGCCCTCGATCTCCACGTGCACGTGTACGTGCGTCAGCGATTTCGGAATGAACGGCCCAGTCAGTTGCATTCTCACGGTAGAGAGGTAGCCCGCAGCCTGGCTGCTTTGATACATCAAGTGGAGGTTCGAGCCCGGAATAGCGATGCTTTCCTGCACGATCTGCAAGCGACGTTTCATGTCCGGTTAAAGCATCGCCGCGCCGTCCTTTTCGCGGAATGAAGCTGCACGGATTCGTTAGATCGTCGCATAGCGCAGCATTATGCTATCGAGATTCGCATTAACATTTCACTCTAGATCTATCTTACGTCTCGTCACAGACTCATTCGCTAATTATATATCAGTCACCGGTCGTCATTTTTTAGATTTAACATTTAGATTTAACATTAGTTTGGCACTCGTGCGCGAAATGAACTAAAGCAAAAAGCAAAATCCTATAATGAAATTCAACCTTTAATTATTCTATATAAGCAGCACATAAGCAGAATTCATTTTTTAAAGTATATGCGAAATTTTTTACCTTTTTTTATATAGAATTAGTTTAAGAAAAATAGGATTCTTCAATAGTGTTAGTTACAAGAAAAAGTTAGTTACAAGTATAGTGTCCGTTACAAGAAAATCGTTACGAAAATAAGATGCAATTATTCGAAAAGGATTTTTATAAATCGTAACAAAGTAATTTTTACCAAAATTTAATGTACTATCTTTTCTTATATCTTAAATTATCTATTTTAAAAATAATGATGGCAACAAATTTTTCAAATTTACCCTTTTCGTACATTTAAAACTTTAATATCTGTATACTGGATAAGCGCATTTATAGATTTAAGTATCAAAAAGTTATAGAGTCACAGAAACCTAGTGTGTCAAATTAAGTAGTAAAAAATATGTCGACGTCAACAAAAAATTAATCTGGTTGTCGCAAAATGTTCATCGTCTTACCGTTGAAACGAAATTGGAACAGTCATATTTTGGATAGGATTACGCGCAATCGTTGTTTTACATATTAATATATATGTTATACAGGGTAATTCATTTTAATCTTAACAAGCAAATATTTCGAAAAATATGGAAGATATGAAGAAATGTTTCAGATAAAAGTTGCAGGGTTTGGAAGGAGACATAAGACTTTAATTTTGTTGCATAGTCAATAATTCCTGATCATTTCAAAGCCAACATCATTTTTTGATGCGAATTCGTTGAAATTATGATAAATTGGAACACTAATTTCTTTGGAAAGGTATCTGAGTGACTATATCGACAAATCCGAAGTTATTATCTGGATGCGCGCACCTTTGGGCAGGCAACCCGTCGTAATAAGTCGTATGTTGATGCAACACTCTGTACAATGATTAATAAGTAATCGATTTCTCTCGTATTATTATGTAAAAAAGTTAAGATGATGTTATCAAAAAATGAATATTTTATGAGATATTTTATATCTCGTACTAAAAGATATCAGAATAAAAAGTGAAATAACTCGAAAAGTATTCGTATTTAGATGACCTTGTTCTGGTACTTTTAAACGTTTAATGAACAGAGGAATCGACTTGTATTAAAAAAAATTATATGATTTAAAAAATGAAGTTGATCTTGAAATGATCTTAAATTATTGACAACTTTTATCTGAAACATTTTCCTATATTTTCCATATTTTTCGAAATATTTTCCTGTTAAGATTAAAATGAATTATCCTATGTATGTGTGTTTTATATATATATATATATATACATAACACATACACACACGCGTGCGCGCACGCACATAATACATTATACGTAAAATCGTTTGCGAAAGTAAAATTCACCTGGCTTTCAGCAAAGACTAAACTCTTCCCAGGCAAACCGCCGACTTTCTCCGGCATCCACGTGCTGACGATGACGGGCCGTAGTACTTCGTGGTCGTGTTCCAAGCACGGTCCATGCTCGCTAAATAGTCCCATCGAAATTCCTGGGAAGCCTATTATGTTGTACTCCATAAATGATAAGTAACTCAAAAAATGCATAACACTTAAGGACGGAACAAAGACAGCACACACGTTGAACAGTTTCGAGAACCGACGTTTTCACAAAGACCCGCGATGCTAAAGTAACACGTGAGCCATCTCGACCATGTATACGTGTATACGATCGCTTAAGAGGCGGGTGATAAATTACATATTATCCTTTTAATGGATTTTTGGGGGAAGCTGCGCTCCTAAAAAATCGTTCTTGTTATCCGTTCTCTCCAGGCACGCGGGGGAGATTCGGTTGATCGAGCACGTGCGCGAAACGTTAGTAGCGTTGACAGGTAACGTGCGACGAGATGTACACACTGCGTCATTACCATTGAAACTAGAATTAGTTGTGCGATTTTCAGTCCTATACCTATGGAAAAGGATAAAAATCGTGTAACTCTCGATCTAGCGAATGGCAATACATACTCTCTCAAGTGCAATCACAGCATATTATCACAGAGAAATAACTAATAGTCACTGCTGATCATAGTTATAAGTATAGTAAATGTAAATCAGAAAGATTTTGCTGAAAAAATCTTTTAATAGTAGCGTCTATTTTCATTGGTGAAATCTGACTGCAGAAAACAAGATATTACATATTTTTTACTATCTTAATCATTCTTAAGATATTTGTCAATAATTTTATCTCCGAAAATATTTGTATTTATTAACTATGAGGAATAACGAACCTTTTCAAAGCTTATAGTCGTGGTTGATGCGGCGACATATTATTTATTAATTTTATAGGAGAATGTAAATGTTCAGTATGTAATGATGGATGTATCGAATTACACTTCAAAGAAGAGTACGCATTGAATCAATCTTTCACGCTTGAACCGATCCCGTGCCCCAGATATTTACCTAATTACCCTCTATCGAATTATTAAATTAATTAATAAGCATATAATACAAATTTTTGCGATATTGCAAAAAATATCTTCTCACAAAATTAATGAATATTATGTCGCTACAACAGCTACGATTAAGCTCTGAAAAGGCCCGTTATTCTTCATATAATTAGTAAATTATAGAAATGTAAAAATATATCTTTTTATATTTAATTGATATAATTTACATATTATTTGAAAAACATGTTCACCTTGATGGGACTCGAAATCGAGACTTCTTTTGAATTTGCCAACAATCGAATATAGGCTTTTGAATTTGCCAACAAACTGCGTCAAATATGACATATGATTAAATGTATACACACACATACAGAGAGAGAGAGAGAGAGAGAAAGAGAGAGAGAGAGAGAGAGAGTATATCCCAGTGAAAAGGTGTCAAAAGAAACGCAAGGCGTTATTTATGTTTTGTTTCTATTATTTATTATTCAAAATAGACTCCTTGTGAGTCAATACATACACCACTGGAAACGATCGTAAAACTTTTTGAAGCAGTCCTTAAAGTCCTTCGTCGGAATCGCCTTTAGAAACTCTGTCGAAACCTTTTGGATGTCCTGAATCGAATTATAACGTGATCCTTTCATGGCTTTAGTTTTGGAAATAGCCAAAAGTCACAGGGAACTAAATCAGGCGCGAATACGGCCGGTGCCAAGTACAATGTTCTTTTTTGTCGAAAAATCGCGTACTTTTGGTCGTTCGTCAACGAATGAAGCACAAAGCAGACCTCCCGCTTTCCCAAATCTCTCGTTAAAATGGGATGGAGGTGGTTTTAGAAATGCCAGTGAGTTCCTCGATGAGTCTCGCAGACATACAATAATAGGTTCGAAGAATTTCGATCACTTTTTATATGTTTTCTTCGTTTCGAGTTGTTTTTGATGTGCCCGTGGATCTTCAATGCTCTTCCTGCCATCACGAAATTTTGCAAACCACTTGTAAACGTTCTCGCGACTCGTGACTTCACTGCTATAAAACATTTTAGTAGCAGTTTTGCCCAATTAAAAAATTAAAAAATTAAATATTTGCACGTCGTTCCATTGTGTTTTTTCGACAAACATACAAAAAGTACTATCACATTTCACGTCATAACTCACGAACCAGACATGCCAGTGCCTTGAAATTTTTTGTGATGACAGCTAAAATGTGTCACTACGTAACGGATGTATTGATTCAGAGATGACTCTGCAGGCAGCTTGGAGATAGAACCAGTTACCTTTTCACCGGGACATACTGTGTATGTACGTACATATTCTACTAGAAGACACGTAATAACGATTTTCAGTAGTGCTGTTAATTATGATTACCCAAGTACCCGAGTCTTTCAGTAACTAAGTGTCAACTGAGCGTACGATTAATTACAGATGTCACAAATTATCGATTTTTTCGAACGACAACAGATAATAAACAACAACGCCCGAAATGAACCGTATACTCAGTTACTGGAAGACACGGGTAGCCGGGTAGTCGAAATTGACAACGCTAACATTCACTTCGCAGTGAATGTTTCACAAAATCAGTGAAGTATAAGACAAACGAGCTAAGTGGCGATGTTTCCACCAAAAATTACAAATATTCACTGATTATCAATGAAATACCGTTCTACTGATTCAATCAGTGACATTTTTATTGATTCGACTCGAGAGAGTACGTAACGCAGTGCATACACGCGTATGTATCGAACCGTCCTAAAGATAAAAAGTAAAGCATAATGAAATATGATTGGAGAGAGTCGATGCTCACCCACTGCCGGACTCGGCGGCTGGTTGGATTTGTACAACTCGCCTTCCTTGCTGAGAGTCATCACAACGGGCGGCAGAACGACGATCTGGTTCCACGGTACGAAGACGGTCCTCGTAAGAGGTATGAAGGGGCTGCGCTGGAATTGAAGCGTCACAGCGCCTCCACCGTTGACCAGGACGTCGAACCTGATCCAAAATACGTAAATGCATTTCGAATCCCATTTCGCCGTTGCCGTTACGTAGAATCTGACACAGGTCGATCGAGATAGCGCGCGCGTCCTATACTCGCGATCAAATGTCCGACGAACTCCTCAGAGTCGAAAGATGCGCGCCTCGAGAGCTTTCTCATCGTGTCTGATTAGCTCGTGTCGGATCGGCACGCGCTTCCGACTAGTATTAATAAATTCCGAAAGATGAAATCGTGATATTCTTATTTTCTGTTCGGATAAATATGGCTTTGCTGATAATATGAATGTTTCTGATTCTGGAGAAAATAACACGCGTTATTTTTCTCTGATTTATCAACAAGAAGTTTTATATTTCACTTTTTCATAGTCTATTAATACCCCGTATTTTATCTTTTTCTTCTCTTCATTATTTAAGGCTTCGTTAATGAAAAGTAGAGTAATGCCAAATTTAGGACGTGATACTTGTACATGTATATATGCATGCATTGTCGGAGAAAACAATCGCATTTATTTATTCATTTCTTGAATCGTCATGAGAAAATCAATTGCGAATAAGCGCGACTCTCTGGTCGTTGAACCAACGACGCGAATTGAATCGGCAGAATCCTCAAAAGTTTCATACGATACGTAAATTCAGCCGATACGCGAACATCCCTCTATAATGCATTCACGATACATCACCGACAGCTACGAACTGAGTATACGTAGGTTTGCGCGGAGTAATTAGTAAGCTTTCGACATCATTAGCTCGGGCTTTGATGTGGTCTAGTATCCCAACTCCTCCGCTTTCCTGTTTCAGAATTATTCTCACCAGGATTACTGTATACTCTGTCTGATATAGTCGTTCCCGCACACCACCCATCCACGCTTCCCCTTTCATTACAATGCAGGCTTGATTCTATCGCGCTTAGATGTCCAGCGTCGCGTACATGTCGTGTTCATCATCGTGCAAATGCTAATACGACGACGACGACAACGAAACGCGTGCTGTTGTTTGTTACATGTGATCTAACAACGTAGACTGAGGCGTGAACTACAACTTCTTCCGCGAATCTTCTTATCACCCAGCAAATCCCGCGGATACGGAAATTACACGTCGCCTGTGCACAACGTGCGATGTATGCAAGAACACAAATCCGGCGATATCGGGGCCTGATATTAAGATACGCGTTCCGATATTTTCGGAATGATAGTAATGCAGATATAACGCGGTATCTGAATTACAGCCACAGTATCCGTCATTTACGATCGTTACACGAATATCCGCCATAATCGCGCGCAAATCCCTCTTTCAAAATAATATTATGCCGCAGTAATAACTACATCGGCTTAAAATGTGAACTGCATGATTGCCTCTGTGTGTGTGTGTGTGTGTGTAATGGTGAATTATTAATGCAAATTATTATCCATATTACTATACTATTCCTACGTTAATGCAATTATTCCACTTCGAAGGAGATTTCGCGTTCGATTTATTTAAGCCTTCGAAAAGACGAATCATTTCACTTTTGCGACACGATATTGTGTAATTTAGCCCGATTTAGCGCATTACGATGATCAACCCACCCGTCTTCTCTATTCAAACAACGAATCATCGAAAGCTCACGATTTGCGCAAGTTCTTCCTGTTTTACTGATCATTGAAGATAAGAGTGTTTCAGCTTCTTTAACACTGGAACAATTTTCTCCTTTCTAAACCGCGGATGGGTCACTTTTGATCTACCTGTTGTTTTGTGATTATCTGTAGATTAAAAAAAAAATTTATGAAATTGTTTAATCGTTTTATGGTAAAGGAGATTTCCTAGTGATAAAAATTCAAAGAAATGGGAAAAGAAGAATCTACAAGTGGGTTAAAATGATCCAACCGCGGTTCAAGTTCTAGAAGAGTTCAATGTTAAAACTCTCAAAGAGTATAGGACTCTTTCCGATTTACGATTAAGTCTCTAAAAGATTTATAATTTATGAATACCATGTCAGGTGCACTTACGTGCAGCTAAGCAACACTTTCTATGATATATACATTTTTTTATCTTTCTCATCGTATATATTTTCCTATCAAACATATTTTTGAATATTCTTCATAATATTCATGTGACGTAAAAACTCAAATTTTGCAATTATTAACGATTCTTCTGATTATGAATATTATAATTAGAAGATGACTCTTTCTTTTACATTGACCTGAAAATGAAATGTACAAATCTGTTCCGGGATCTCCTCGAGAGGTCTCCTTACAGTGCCTCCTGTCCGGCTTTAAGCATATCGGTCAGTAGTGGCGGATGATGACTTTTTGGAACCTAATGCTAATATTATTTTTAATGCTAATAATATTATTTCAGGGGCCACCTGACTGCTTATAAATAAATAAATGTAGGGACTGAAATAAGGCCCCGTTCCGATGGGAACTTTGGTACGCTAACATCTCTCACCAGTTTCTATATAAATCTGCTACTGCTAGCTAGTCAAATAAAACATGAACGAATTATTGGTTGGTTGGAAACTCTAGAGGAGCACAGGGCTAATTCTGTTACAGCTAATTTCCTTATTATCGATTCAAGATGTAGCAGCGTACGGCAATTGGTAAGAATTGAGCACGCTAGTTGCAAAATAAATAGTCAAATAAAATGTGAATGAATTATTGATCCTTACCATCCGTCGGCTCTGGTCAGGGTGAATCCAAAGCGCGAATCTCTGTCCACGGACACCCGGATGCCTACTATTCCAAGTCCTTGTTCGGTAACAACTTGGCCTCGCATCACCGCAACTCGACTGTTACAAATTATAGATATATCGCAGTCCACTGAAGCGGGATCGTTTCGTCGACCCATTAATCCGCGCGATGCTGATTTAAAACGAAACATTCTCACAATTGCGCCTGTCGGCCTGTTTGGAATGTAATCTCGACCAACATGAGCGTGCGCGTTCGCTCGCGCGCGCGCCCTAAAGCGAAGCTTCGTGTTCAGCTGACGTCGAAAAAAAAAAAAAAACAAAACAAAATTGCGGATCTCGATAGCGTTCTGTCTCTCAGGGAAATATTGTTGTATTTTAAATTATTATACACACGATCCGCCAGTTTCGATTTCGTTTAGATACTGTATCGCCAATTTGCGACAAAGTTTTATCTCAAATTTGTAACCCTTGAATTAAAAATGTTAAAAATTTTAGGCTCAACTGTAGTTTAATTGCAACATACTTTTATAACTGTTGGCATTTGTACAGAGTCCTCCATTTTTAAGAGGTTTTTTATTTTTCAGATGAATTTTCATTTTAAAGTATTAGAAAAAAGAAGTTTTTTTTTTTAAGTGTTGATATTTTTACTCCAATGCAAAGTACAGACTGTATGATTAAGTGTGGAACACGATATTTGATAAATGACCGCCTCGAATTTTCTTACAAATGGTCACTTTTTTGAAAAAATCTCGCATCACATTTTTGCATAATTGCGACTCGATTTCGTGAATAATACTTTTGATATTGTCCCTGAGCTCTTGAATCGTCTGAGGAGCATTGGCGCAGATCTTATCCTTCGAATAGCCCCCCCCTAAAAATAATCTAGCGGTGTTAAATCGCACGATCTAGGCGGCCAATTAAAGTCTCCGCGTCGAGAAATTATGCGTCCAGGAAATTTTTCACACAATAACCCAATTGTTTCACTGTTTGTGTGACACGTTGCTCCGTCCTGGTGGTAATAAACATCATCCAGGTTCGAATCATCCACTTCAGGCGAAAAAAAAGTCGGTCAGCATCGTAAAGTAACGCAACCCATTCACTGAAACGGTGGCACCGGCTTCGTTTTCGAAAAAGACGGATGATCTGGCTGGCCGAGCACGGATTGGGATCTTTACATCATTAACTTGTCCCGAACGCTCAAATTTCTTAATTAGGTTAACAATCGCTGGACGAGAAGGTGCTTCATCACGGCCGGAAGCAGTACGAACTTTACGAACTGTTTCCGCGAAATTTTCATCATTTTTTAAATGAATCTTTTAAATAAAACCTCTTAATGGAAAACCCTGTACGTTTGTGCAGTGTCGCCATTTTTCCTTGTCGATTTCTCGTGATTTGCATATATTCTGGATATGAAAAGAAAAAGGAACGGTCTGAAATATCCATACGTCCGAAAGCCGGCAGTTTAATTTTACTTACGATTTTGTTGCGATTCGAACGGGCCATCATTAATATTCACTCGATGTCTGTCTGATTAACGGATAATACGATCATACTTCTCGGTCGATGCACACGAGAGACCGAGTGTCTTTGCGTGCAGAGGGGCGCGGGCGCGGACGCGAGCAATCGATTTCGCCTGTTAAATCAGCTTCCGCGGTCAACGGTTCAATGCGATCCAATATTCTCACTTCGCTGCCAATACAATCCGCAACTCCATTCGGCCGACATTCGACGGCCGCGTTGCCACGTACAAGGGAAGCTAATGCCTCTGGCTGAATCGAGGAGCGATACAAATTGATTTTACAAATAGAACAATGCCGCGCGAGGCGAGGAGTGGCGGAACAAGGGCAGGGGAAAGGGGGGCTGCGGCGGCGAGGGGAGGGGCAGCGGAACACGCGCAGTGCGTCGACGATGCATTGTGCTCGCGAAAATCAGCAGTTGGTAGTGGCGATGGCAGCGAGGCGGGAACATTCTTCTCGGCACTGACTTTCGGGACTTTTTTTTCAGAGACCAGAACAAAAACAGAAAAAAAAGAAGAGGAGAGAAAATGGAGAAGAGAGACATAATCGTCACGCAGCAGATAGACGAGGACAGGTGCGGCGGAAAGGAGGGAGACGGAGAGGATGATTCGTACGGAGAGCCGGGGGAGTTATATTTTGTGAGAATAAAAGACATGCAGTCATGTTATATAGATACGTAGTAGGCGTGTGAGATATATAATATGTAATATAATAACAGGCGTAAATATATGAACTTTGAATAGGGTTCGGGGGGAAATTGGGGTTGGATTTTTGGCGAGAAAAAGTCGGAACGTTTGAAGCTGAATATTTTAAGCGATTTGTGTAGTGCTGAATAAAATGAGATCGATGTACATACGTATATATATATATATATATATATACGTATATATATATATATATATATAAAATGTGTGTGTATAATATATATGTATATATATGTATATATATATATATATAAACATATGTGCAACACGTCGCATATATGTGTATATAGCTTGTTACATCGCGTTTTCGGTTTTCAGTCGGGTACGAGAGAAAGAATGTGATGCAACACGTGTAACATGCCCGATTACTCGCGCCGTGTAACAAACTATATACCTGTTTATGCATTTTGTATGTAGATGTGTATACATACATATATATATGTATAAATATGTATACATATACATATATATAAACATGTATATATATACACATATATGTTTATCGGTCTCTAAGGGATTGCGTATGGGGGCATATTCGTTCTTGGAGGATCGTGCGTATCCCAACGCTGCGAGTGACATCGATGGTCGCGTCACACGTTGATCACGTTGATCACGGACGGCCATCGACCATTTCCGACCATTGCCGCAATTATCGAGTTCGTAGGTTTCACGGCCGTATCATGGCCCATGGATCAAAACCGGAATAATTTGAGTTCGATTCCTGTCGTCGAAATGAAAGTTTGCCGAACAAGGCTACATCCCTATTAATGTTGGAGAAAATTGAAAGACCGCTAAAACGCAATGCCGATATCTTCGTTCGCAATGATAATAGACCCATCCTTCTGATCGCTCTGTGATTCGAAAATCAATAAGAATGTTCTAGGTTCTTACATTCACATGTGTGATACCATAAAACGCTTCGGACATTTTTAGCTATTTCGTAAAACAAGAATGTGGCCTTATTCGAACTTGGACGGACTAGCAGTACGAGTAATAATCAGACATAACTATTCAGAGATTTTCTTGAACGTAATGCGTAATGATTTTTCGACACAACACAAAATAATGCGTTCTCGTTTTCAAAGAGAGCTGTAGAGTTTATTGGAATGAAATAGCTGGACACTCGCATGCGTTATAATTCACAAAACTAAGATTTCCATCGTTGTTTTGCTCGACGACGGCGTTCACGAACGCGTTTATCTCAGACGCGAAGTAAACACAGCTTTCATCAATCATCACGTTTTCAACGTCTCGAGAAGTAAACTTTAATTTTCGCGTATGCGAAGAATGGAAAATGTAAAATCATTATTCATGCAAAATCTTTTCACCGTCGGTTTCGGTCGCTGACCGTGCCGCTGTTCCGGGTGACCTGAGGATCAAACATTGTCGAGAGGAAAAAGAGAGTGGAGATGGGCCGGGCGCTGATCCTCCAAGTGCGAGCACAGCAAGGTGGCAGGCACAGTCGTCACTACTGTACGTCCAAACCCATAGTGAATGATAAACAGAAACAGAAAAATGGATGATCCTCGAATGCACCGAGATCTCTAAAGGCAGTCATCGTCAATCTATATGCAGATAATGGCAAACAAAAGAAGAGAACGTACACGCGCGACGCGTACACCTATGCCGTCGAAATTATTAATCTGACGTTGCGTTATTTCTTTTTTTTCTCTTTTCCTCGTCGAATTTACCAGCGAATAATCGTCGGCGATATCATTCTCTCCCTCCCCCCCTCTCTCTCTCTCTCTCTCTCTCACTCCCTCTTTCTCTCTCTCACTCCCTCCCTCTCTCTCACTCTCTCCCTCTCTCTCCCTCTCTCTCCCTCACTCTCTCTCTCCCTTTCTCTCTCTTTCTCTCCCTCTTGCTCTCCCTCCCTTTCTCACTCCCTCTCTCTCTCTCTCTCTCTCTTTCTCTCTCCCTCCCTCCCTCCCTCCCACTTTCTTTCCCTCCCCGTTTATCTCTTTCTCTCTTTCTGCTCTCTCATGAATCTTTTCTCGATTTATTTGTCTATTCTCTTTCTTCCATCGCCTTCTCTTCCACCGTTCTTCGCGCGAACACCAGAAGTTGTTTTCAGAGAAATATGAATAACAACGTACGAGAGATCGCAAATTTTTCAGTGACAATGATCTAACGCACAAGAGTAAACGTTCCTCGTTTTGAATGTATACCCCGCGCCAGAAAGAAGCGTCGTTACTAGTAGAGCGGGGATAGACGCGATAGACGGATATGGTAGAATTGGGGATCGGTCGGGTTACGGTAGCATCATGGTCCGATCATGTCGGTGGGTTTTCGATTTCATCGGATATCGGATAAAGACAGACACAGGGCATTGGTGTCGGGTCATTGGCACATTTTAGACAGGTGATAACAGACGCAGACAAGGGACAAGGAGGGACGGTCCTTCGGGGTCCTTCTTCTTCATAAACTATATGGTACCGATTAGCGATACTTGCCGATCCGTCGATAGAACAGAAAGCGCACACGTATACCTGTTAAGTTTATTACCTCGTGTCCGTATCGTATATATATATATATATATATATATATATATATGTATATATATATGTATATGAGACAGAAAGGAACGATAAGAAAAAAGAACGCAACAGTCGTTCACGCAAGAGGCGCGCAATAATGTCAGCGTTCGTGTAAAATGCTAGGACGTTCACTATAAGACAAATTCGACAGGATGATACATAAAATGCAAGCCTGGCAAACACAAACAACACAAGACCAGGTTGATAAAGTCGTTTACACGCTTCGTAACATACTATTACGTATATATATCAGTCATGGCTAACGCATCTAAAGGACAAGAAGACAAGACATAACAGAAAAGGGAAGACAACGATCTGACGACATATCACAGATAACACAGAGACAATTCGTACGGTTGACTTTAAATGTATACGTGAAGAGCTCTCGCCCATGGACACTCAGAGGCTCGGATGATGCGTACAAGCGAGATGTGATCGCGAGATATCGTGACTCGAGAGATGCGAGAGAGCTATAAAGGTGGTGGTCCCTTTTCCGCGCACATGTCGCAATGAAACTCGGTCAATGACACGCGATATACTCGGGGATCGAATCGCGGTTATCTGCGAAAGGTTTGTTCTCTCGCATAATTAAACGCGTCCCGAAGCCGTTTCCGACGCGGACTTCGTCATAAACGAGCGGGCACGAGAGAAGGCGCCGAAGGAGATTTTCCAAAAAAGTAGGTAACCGGAAATACATCCGCTATAAATTCGATATCGATGTCAGGAAGATTGTTCTCTCGTTCTCGCNTTTTTTTCCCCCCCCCCCCCCCCCTCTTTCCACGCGAAATTTATGGTGTTTTTATTTGCGAACAGGCATTCGACTGTATTTTTATAAAAATACGGACGATGTGGATAGTTGACGCGCGAGAGAGAGAGACGCGCGCGCGCACTATTTCGAGCGGGATATAAACCCTGGTTGCAAAAACCGACGGTCGACGGTTCTCATCGTCCTGTACGTATCAACGCGAGCGTGGCCATGGGCCGCAAAAGTGAATAGAAAGACAAGATAGGTTAGACAGGTAGATATAGAGAGGCTGAGAGAGCGGACGAAGTATGTAGAGCGGGGTCGGTGTGTCGGATGAGAGAGATGAGAGACAAATAAGCGAAGTGTGTGATCAAACACTGGCGAAACGCAAATAGTCATATAATGAGAAATGATAACAGGCTGTTGTATGGGCGGCGTATAGACATAGGGGAGGAAGACAGAGAGAAAGAACGAAACGTGTGTGTACTAGGAAAAGTAATGAGACAGAATAAGGCAGGCTAAAGGTTCGATATATAAATACATATGTGTACATATTAATGGGTCATACGAAAGACATGTAAGATGAATGAATACGAGCGAAACGAGCAATAGATGATACTTGGTTCTTTTCTCATTATTCTTTTTTTATCTTTCTTTCTTTTTACTCTTATATATGTTTTTTTGCTTGCTTGCTTGCTTGCTTGCTTTCTTTTTTTTTTTTTTGGATTAATGAACGATTAGGCGAGAGCTTGAGCTGCAACTTACCGCGGTGTAAAGGAACTCCAGAACGTACTACGTGTGGGAAAAAACCAACGAGAAGAAAGGGCGTTACCACGGTCACAGAACCCGCGTTTACGGGCAAAAAAACGGATACGCGTGCGCAGCATTGCGCGAGCAATCATATCTCTCGCGATTGCTCCGAATGGATGCTCTTTTATTTTACTTTCTTTCTCTCTTTTTTTTTTCTCTCTCTCTCTCTCCCTCTCTCTCTCTTTCTCTCTACTTTCGCGTCGCCGATCGTGGGCGCGCCAAAGTGCGGCGAGCGCGTGTCAACTCTATCCGCTCGATCTCTCGGCGCGATCAGGACCGGACACGGCGGCCGTGTTCCGGTCCTCCGTCCCGGCACCGGCTGGACCGGCGCAGGGACCACGAATGCTCCTCGCAATGTTCCGCACGCCATTACAGAAACAATAGACGTAGACACACACTAATCAAGCGTACCCATCATACACGCGATCCTTCCAGTCACGCAACATGAACGCAATCACTCTCGGACTCATTCAACATAGAAGTGGTATACAGTGTGACAGACACAAGTTGGAAACTACGTAACGCACACACATAATGTATAATGATATATAGGGCCCGGAAACACGACGGTTGAATAATACCGGTCCATAATATGTTAATACGCGCGGCGCGCCATTTCGGCCAGGCTGTGACACCGTCCTTGGCGCGAGGACACCCTGACGGACGCGACCGACGGAAACTCTTATCGGTACGATATCTAACCAGGGTCGGAAGGATCGTCCGGGCTGACAACAAGAGGAGATTCCATCAGCGTCGATCTACGGCCCAGGCTGGGAGACGATTCTCGAATATTGATTACTCTGTCCGAGCAACCTCGATGCCAGTCTGAATTCCTGATTCATCACCGAGTACTTGTACCTGTGTGCACCTCTCTCTCTCTCTCTCTCTCGCTCTCTCTCCCCCTCGGTCGTTCGGAGCGAATCTACTACTCTAACGAGTTCTTAACAACCAGGTTAACGCGAATGTCCTTTCCTTCTTTCTGTCTTGTTCTCCCGAAAGGGAATGCGAATATTTCAATAGAGCACGAAGACGATATCGAAATAACCGTCCGTGAAACCTATGAATTTCGAAGATGAAAAAGTGAGGATGAAAATGGCACAGACGGACGGAGCGACGGAGAATTATTCATCTGGATTAACCGAGTTTCAACCGAGTTGTAGCGAACGTAAAATTGCGAACTACATCATTGAGAGCTGCCGACACGACAAAGTAGGCGCTTTACAAAATATATAAATATATAGACACGTATATATATCGGACGCTCCGCGCGCAAGAATGCTCTGAGAATTATTAGCATTGAAAGTTGGAAAGAAGTGAAAACCCCTTCGAGAAGATAGTTGCATATTAGATTTACGGATGGCCGGTGAGTATACTCGGAGCAGCAATCGATATTCCAACATTGTGCGGTAAACAGTACAATGGACGAAAATAATGCTCTCTAACTGCACGATTTCTGGAATCTCTTCGACCGCACGGACCTTATTACACATACACAGCGTATTTTCGTAAGGAACGAAATGCAAGGAAAGAGAAACGAGAGAACGAAAACGGCACGAGAAATTTCAAACTTGTGTCTACCATGTCTAGAAATACTTTTACGAATGGTCGAGTCATGGCACTCGTGGCACGGCTTTTTCGGCATCGATAGCGTTTAGCATGGACTCACGGATAATTGGAAATTCTCTCCCGGGGTTCACCTCCTAGGAAAGAGAGCTCGACGTGCCCGACTCCGACTCAACTATTCGTATATCGTTTTATCTATGAATTCTTTTCTCGTAATCGCTTAACGAATGGCCAGATTATCGAGGTGTCGAAAGGTATAATTTGGAAAATGCATCTCTATCCTTTCTCTTATGTTAGTATGTTGCGCGCAGACCGAGTATCGTTATATCTCACAACGATATCACGCACGAACAGTGCCTACTAGAATACGTTAACGCGTGAGAAATGAGAATTGAACTGATATAAAAGTAATAATACGAAAGCAAGTCTCTAGCATATTCTCGTTATGCAGACTTTAAGTCGTTTCACAGTCCGTAAGCGGAACGGAGCCACTTTTCTTTTCGGTCGTCTTCGGCTGTGGGGTGATTGGTGATTTGGTGGTGGTAAAGGGGTACACATAGAGAGGATAAACACTAGACAAAATACACGATTCCCCCGAAATGCCTCCACGACCTTTTCCAGTTGTCGGCTCGCGCAAATATCGATAATCTCTCCACCAGTGCCGAACAAAGAAAGATATATCTCGGATAATTTATCGGATCGCTCGTCGAAAAATCATGTATTCTCACTGAGTCTTACTCGCTGAACCATCTCTCTCTTTCTTTTCGTCTCACGTCGTTTCGTTCGAGACGATCGTTTTCTGCAGGTGTAAGTGATCAACTCGCTCATTTTAAAGTGACTGTGCATTTAACATGCTCTCGTTTCGTCAAGTATACTAAAAGCAGCGTGTTAAAAGAGGAAAAATTAATGCACGAGCCATCTATCGAATGTTTTTCAACTCGGCGAAATGCATACGCGATAAATATGCATGTAATATTCCGCATTAATCTGTCGAATTACGGTCAAATATCATTTATTGCGGATACAACGGTGACACGATATATATTCGCTCGTCCGTTTATTTATTTATCGCCGTAGTGCCCGTGTCAATTGACAATGGTACACGCGCGCGCGCACACGCGAGCTCGGTCGAAATTGCCGTTTCGAAATTATTGTCGAATGGTGTCGCGTGCGCCGTACAAAATTATCACAGTCAACGGAGAAACCTTTGATTGGCAATGCTTCCGAGATGATTATCGATATAATCGGCATTCGGGGGAGGAGAGGGGGTGAAACACTGGGAAAAGGATAGTTAGAGGTTTACAGGGGTGTCACCCACCGGAGGGGCACTCTCGATATTTCAGCTGTCACGGGTGTGTTTGGATTCATGACGAGTCGATTAAATTTGCAATACGATTTTTGCATATCGTTCTCAACGGTCGCTCACGATGGGGGAGACATGAATGCGAATAAATCATTAATCGCGGTATCTCCATCCGACAAATACTTGCGACTTGTACGATTCGTTCGTGAAGCCAATAGTCTCGAAACACGCGACACGCTCAATCGATAAAACGCATTTCACCGCTGTGCAAAATGACGACGATTGATCGCGATCGAACTATGACAGTTGCCGAATTTCTGGATTACTCGGCCGACTATTTCTCACATTCTCGATTCTTCTCGATTGTTATATATTCGATCCGTGAAAAATCACGACAGAGACACGCGGATTCCTCCCGTGACGACGAATTTGTCATTTGCCGTGGCTCCTACGGGCGGCTCGTGTTTGCCGAGCGTGCGTTTTCGCAAACGCGCAGATTCGCGTTACCGCGCGTCCGTTCACGACCAAATGGGAAACTTCGTTTTAAACGCGCATTCAAAGAGCCGCGAGAATTCATTACAATTAACTCGATCCCGCCGCGCGAAATTATTGTCGCCGTTGTGTGTTCATCGCACGCGCGCGCGCGCACGTGATCAAGGATCGCGCAAAGGAAGGTATGATAATAATAAACGCGAGAGAATATGTAACCCCATCGTAAACCGTTACTACAGATTGAAAACGCGCCAAGTTATATCACACGCGATCGTATTCAACAATTCGACGAACGCGCGCGCAGATACACGTTGTACTTTTTTTCTTTCTCGCACATTATTCAATTCCTCAGTCCTGTAAATGGCAATTTCGACATTAATTATGACCGCTTTCTCGGACGTTCTCGCTGCGTTCTCACACCGTCGGAGAAATCACACGGCGTGCTGGTAAATATAGCACAGCGAAAGAAACGGAAGAAGTGTTCAACGAAACACACGATGAAACACACGCGCGCGTCGTAGTTCCCGGCTGACGACGGGTAAGAACGAGAAAAGTAATGCGCGGTTGCATGAGAGTCGTAAAAGGCCAAACTATGACACGCAGCTAGGCTATTTTATCATCATTAATCGTTATATGCGGAACGCTCGCGAGTGACCGAGCCGCCGCGGCTCTTCGACGCGACGAAGATCAATTTACGCGAAGGCGTAACGATATCTCGTTTCTGGAACACGAGGAATCCCGAGACATCGTTCGCATGCGGCCGTGCGGTCGAAACACGCTCGGTCGCTCGCGCGCGAACGTTCTTCTCACTTATATTATGAAAGTAAGAGACTAAGCGATCTAATTCGAATCTTATAATCCGTCCAAGTGAGAAATGATCGATCTTACCTTTCCGTATACTCGTCCATGTGGGCGTAGCTCTGTACGCTATTCTCCTCGACGAGGAACTTCACCCGCTGGTAGAAGGACGCAGTGACACTGGGCGGTTGCTTCCGCAGCAGAACGTCCACGGGGTTGTTGCTAGCGAGGCACATGATGTGTTCCACACAAGCGTCGTGCGAGCAGCACTCGCTGTCGGAACAGTCCATCATGCCATCTGATCGTGAGAAAGACGACTTGTTAAACGCTCGAACGTGCGGACGCGCACGGACTACTTTTCGGAACCTAATTGGGAGTCCTGGCCCGATTTCCCAAGATAATTGTGGATCAAACGAAGAAAGATATATCGAAGGTTTCGATGATAAACAACCAGTAAGAACGATAGGCTAACTAGAGCCGTCGCTGGATGTTGAATGCGAAATTTTTGCTCTTAGCGGAAGCATAAAATTTATCCAACAAAGTAAGGCTGTAGGTCTACAATAGGGTTTTTAGTCTTAAGCCTTGAGTAACTGACCAATCATGATTGATTATTCTTCTATAATTCGATTGTGATTGGCCAAGGATTGATTAAGACTTAGGACTTAAAGCACCTATTGGAGACTGGGACTAACGCACGAACTGAACTCCTTTTTCGGACTTTCGACGTACGAATGATGTTATATAGTTACCGTCTTTCCACGTCGAGCCGACGCTCTTAATCCGCAATTAATATTACTCCTGCAGCACTAATTAATAATTCTCTAATATCCCTTAGACCTTGTAAAAATGTTTATTATAAATACTCCGAAAAATACCGACTAAATCCGGAGCCTATCGTTTTTACTGATAATCGTGCGGGGAAACCCACGCAAGTGCTCAGACAAAACAATTAATTCCTTACTAACTATCGCGAATTTTGCAAAATGGTGCATGACTTTTCTGCAAATAGGATAACCTATTTTGAGTTTTTTAACTTCGGATATTTTAATCGAATTCTATGTATCTGGGAAAATTATGAGAAATTTTTCTATGCGGGTAGCGTTTCGAGCAAGCTATGTATTTTTGCGAAGACAATCGAATTCGTCCGGAAACTGACCTAAAAAGATTGGGAAAATCACTTTTGAAGTAACGCGTTACGAATTTCCCATTGGAAAAGGTACTTGTTACTAATATCGTTGCTTCATGTCTCACCTTCGTCGTTATCGACGTAATCGTTACATTCCATCTCAAGCAGTATGCTACAATCTCTACCGGCCCATCCGGTGGAGCATTCGCAACTGTACTCGCCGTCCTGCAAAGTGCACAGTCCGTGGCGGCTGCATCCATTTTCGCATCCAGCTATTTAAACAGAAAAACACATGTCAATTGCTACTAGTGCTGTCAATTTCGACTACCCGGTTATCTGAGACTTTCGGTATTATCCGGATATTACTTAACGGTATGCTGAGTGAGGGAGACCGGAGCTATTTGGCATACATTTTACATTTTATTTTTTGTTCTTTTTCGCACAGCATTTTGTGTATATTTTTAGTATAATTCGAAAGTAGAATTTTTTGATAACAAAAAAATATATAAATATATTGAAAGTTTTAAAAATAAATTTACAAAAGAAACCGATATTATCTTGGAGGATGTCAAGCGTCAACTTGCCCCGTTAATAGGGTAGATTGGCCACACTAAGAAAAATATGGTTTAAAATGTTGACGTTATAGTTTACCATAAACATATGAAATTAATTCAACTTTATTTTCGCCGTATTATATACTTCAGGCTATATTAAAACAATGATACGGTGTATTTATTTCCTTAAAACTGTTATTGTGTAGTTATAAAATTCATCCAGCTTAGATTAATGGTGTTGGTACATAATGATTTTTTCTATATGTGTATTAAATAAATAGAAAAATGCACATCAAATATTTCTTGATATTAATATCTTTATGAAAAATATTAAATATTCCTTCCCGTCCCTTTTCAACGAGTTTTCATCTGGTCCCTATTCAGTTGTAGGAATTGGAATTTTTTTCCCGTGTACGATTGCCAGTCGGTCCAACTGATTGTCAAAGAATCGGCACCGCGTTCAGTCGATCTGCATCGTAGAACTCGCACGATGGCGAGATATACGCTCGAGTGAAGTAAAGCGCAGTGAACTTGTACGTTTCGAAGTGTAAGTTCGCGCGCTATTTTACGTACGTAATGTGCAATGTCTGCCGTTCCATCCTTGACTGCACACGCAGGTCCCGTTTTTACACTGGCCGTGCTCAGCGCAGCGCGTGTCGCACGGCTTTTGATCACACTTCGTCCCGGTCCAGTCGTCATGGCATCTACAAATGAATACACACCATCCGTCTTACAACGTAAATACCTTTATACATTGCGAGTACATCGACCGCTGTTGCTATTTTACCGAACCAGCGGAACAACGGAGAATAACGACGCTAACGTGATGCTGTTAAAGATTGTCAGCTTTGGACAAATTTTCGTAACCACAGAAAGAGCTCGGAAGGCTTCAGAAACAATTGAAGAGGGATAATATTATCGACTATTTTTAATCATCCGATAGATAGTTGAATATTTAGGGTGCGCTGAAAGAAAAACATCTAAAAAAAAATTAAAAAATTGTATTCGTGGTATGTACTAATAATATATTATACCGATATCTTTTTTTTTAATGAGAAAATATACCTTTTTAAAAATAAATATAAATATAAATAAATTTCAAATAAATTATTTTTATAATAAAATAATCTCGATTTAAGTAAATATGTTATTAGTATCGGGTATATAATTAGTATTAATTTTATAATTAACAATTACCTCGATATTTTATCTATACAAGGTGTTAGATAATTCATGGAGTACCGTTTATGTGCAGTTAGAATGTGTTAAACTGAACAAAAAAGTCTTTTACCATTTTACAAACAACTACGCGAAATTCCGAGTTATTAATGATTGAAAATGGCATGTATAGATGCTTCTTTAGTTAATAACTCAAAAATTTACGGGTTATTTGCAAAATAATACAGAACTTTTTTGTTTAGAATGGCCTAATTTACAAATATATAACAGCTGTTATACTTAACAACTGACATCAGTATATTAAACCTTGAACTTGTCGTTAGATGCAACAACTGTCGTATACTCATAGACTAAGCCATTCTGAATAAAAAAATTCTTTACCATTCTGCAAATAACACGCAAATTTTTCAGTTATTAATTAAAGAAGCCTCTATACATGACCATTTTCAATCATTAATAATTCGAAATTTTGCGTGGTTGTTTGCAAAATGGCACGGGACTTTTGTACTCAGTTTAACCCATTCTACCTGCACACAGTACAAGTGGTACTTCACGAATTACCGGATATCTCATATACATGCAGACCTACAATGAAATACACGAGAAAAAAGTTTAATTGAATTTATCTTGAAAAATGAACAAACCAAATGCATATCGTTTGAAGCAAATAGAATGTTTTCTTCCTACAAACCAAATTCGATTCTTGTAACCAGAAATTCTGTCTACTTTAAGCAAAATGCATTTAATTTGTTCATCGTCAGGTAAATTCAATCAAATTTCTTTTCCGTGAATATCGGATACTGTGAAATTGCACTTACGCACTTTACGCAGTTGACATCCACATTAGTTCGACGCAAAATAGACCGGTAAGAGGTTATTAAACAGCACAATTTTTCCTATAATGCTAAATCCCATAAAGCTGACGGTCTTTATTTTTATCTCATCGGTGATAGCGGCTACTCGTGACATAAAGACTCAGTCTCGTTATGTTAACCGCGCTCGGTATATTCCGTTGAGACGCCCGGAGGATACTAAAAGGACACGTTACGAATTGAATCGAGGTGTCGCCGAAAGTAAAATCACTTCGCACCGTTTATAGCCCGGCCGCTAAATAAAAAAATGCCAGTTTAAATTCAGTCCCGAAGTTGTTCCACCGGTGCGGCTACAGCAGAACTTTTTGCACTTAGAACCTCTTTTACGCCAACTCTTGGAGGATAGAACAAGAGAGTAGACGAGAAGCGTCAGCTTTAGAATATGAGAAAAGAGATCCTCACCCGCGTCCTTGATTCCTGACAAAGGAAAGTAAGAAGGGAGGACGGAGGAGGGCCCTTCGAGTTGTGATAAGTTAGCATTTCGTAAGACAGAGCTTTCTTCTCACAATTTTTTAACTTTTTTTAGCCTTAACTTTCGCGCCGCCCGCAGTCCCGGAGAGCAATTTACTCATTTTTCGGCCATTCTTCGTCTACACGCACGATATTTCAATGTCCCGACAAGATGTTATTCGTATCCCCCTCCTCTCTCTCTCTCTCTCATTCTCTCTCTCTCTCTCTCTCTCTCTCTCTTTTTCTCTCTCAATTCGTATTCGAGGCAAATTATGAACGTGTTGATACATTCTAGAATATCTTGGATTCAACCATTGTAATATATAGGTGTCCGAAGAATTGGAAAATCTTGTGCTTCAAATATACGAAATATCGGATACAATTACAACGGAAAATTCAGGGAAAACGTATTAAAGCAATGAAGTTAAAATTTTTTAATAATATAATAAGCCAATACTTACATCCTATACTGTAATTTCGCTTCCTGTCATAATTCATTTTTACACAAGCCCGTTGGGACAGTGACTCTCAATCATGACAGTTAATTGCGCTTCCAACTTCAATGCGTCTAAACCGTTTTGCTTCCCACTGTATAGGATGTTGCGTCAACATACAGGTCACATATTTAGAAAGATATGTAAGTGAATATGCCGCTAAAACCTACTGAAAGCAAGTTCTATATAACGCTCGTAATAATCACGAGTATAATTCTGTTTCTGTTTAACATACAGGAGAAACAAAGACAGAATGATGCTCGCGATCGTTGCGAGCAGTAAGTGGAACGTTGAACCCTGAATTGTGTAAAACCGTGGGCGCCTGCTAACAAGCAACCCGTCGTACTGACCTATATGTTGACGCAACATCCTATACTCCAACATTCCGGAACATATTCACTCCAATCGATTAAAATATTCGCTCACATGGATTCATAATCCACTATAAAGGTGAATTTCACCAAGATCTAAAAGATGATTAATCTAATAGATGATTTAAAATGGCTGTCATTCAAGTATTACCCCGTGTATCTTACTGACAAAGATAGAAACTAACTTCTCGATTATTGTTGAACGACAAATTATAAAATTGAAAATTGGCGTTGGTAATTTCTATTACATGTTATTCATCGGTTAGTTGTAGTCTAAGTTTTGCAAAAGTCACTTGAATGAAGCATGTGAACTTGAGTGAAGCATTCACTTTTGCGATTTCGAGTAGCGCTGTCTAAAGTGCAACCAGTTTATCATCATCTGAAGAGCAGTGAATATTCATCGGTAATATTTATAAGAGTCGCACTAGGAATCGGTAAAACTTAGTCGGAGAAGTTGATATCAGTTAATAATAATGTATAATAAATAAAGTAAATAAATAATAAATAAATCATCTGTTAATATTAGTAAACTGTTTACATCAGTAAAACCTGAATGCAGAAACAGTGAAAAAACTATTATTTTTACTTCTTTTTTACTACCTTAATCATTCTTAAGATGTCAATAACTTTATCTGTGAAATAAGTCTTAATTATGTTCAATTGATTTAATTTATTTAAGAAACATTCTATTTATTAGAAACACGCTTAATCTGATCGAGAACTCGAGATCTTTACTCTTGAATCTACTATCATAAGAACTACACTATGTACAAAATACGGCATTTGGTTGAAATACATATGTACATACGTATATACATATTTATTTCTGCTACGGGACACATACAACAATTTGTAGTGAATATTTCAACTCAAAAGGCCGAAACCAATGAAGTATAAAGACAGAAGAATTAAACGGAAGTATCTCCACCCAAAATTAGCGAACATTCATTGATTGATTATCATATTAAAATACTATCTTGCTAATTCAATTGGCGACATTTTCACTGATTCGATTTAAGAGAGCGGTATTTTCGCCACTTTTCACTTGTTCTGAGTGCGATTCCGTCGCAAGGAATTCCGACAGTACGCACAATGTATGCGGTATATACTGACTTGCAACGACCCTGCTCGCAGGATCCGTGAAGTCCGCAGTCCAGGCCGCAGCTCGGCTGCGAACAATCAACCCCGGTCCAATGTTCCTCGCAAACGCAGGCCGCCGACTCGAGATCGTACGTGCCGTGATCGGAGCAGCCCGGCAGACATTGGTACACCTGCTGATCCACCTGATTGCACCGTTCGCCTTGCCAGCCCGCCTTGCAGTAACACTTGCCGGAGACACAGGCGCCGTGGCCGCTGCAGTTCGGATCGGAACAGTCGGCTGTAAGAAGGAAGAGAATCGTACGATTAAATTAGCGTCGTGTTTTCGCAGGGCCGTGTGCTTCGCAGCTTCCCTTGGGCGAGCCCAGAAGAAAAGCCTAAAAGCTCGCTCGAAGACTCGCGTCCCCGGCGTATCCCTTCGCTTATCATCGGCCGTCCCCCTTCCCCATCCCCCCTCATGCCCCCCGTTACGCCCGGGTACCGCTGATTGCGTCCACGGCGTGAACGAATGGACCAACTTTTTAAATTATGGCATCGGAACAATTGCATTATTCTCGCGAATCCCGCCTGCCCCGGGGAAATTATGAAACTTAATTCCGGAGCGTCCTCGACGCGGCGACGGTGGCGGCGGCGGTGACGGCGACAGCGGCGGCGGTGACGACGGTGGTGGTTCACCGTTCGTGTATATAATCCATGGACGATTCGTCCATCCCGTTAGATCTAGTGGGGCAACTTCAAAAGATGCTTATTCTGTTCTATCTAAGAGAATTTCATCACGTGAACCTCAATCTTGTCAGGTTAATATTGGGGATTAAGAGAAACGGGCGTTTTAAATTTGTGTAAATCCGGTAAAATTTTACTCGTTGTTACAGCTAGGAATTGATTGATTAGGAATTGATTCATTAGGAATTAATTGAAATCCTTTTCTACAAGTTATTTATATTATACATTAAAGATGGAAATATATTTTAAGAAATTAAAAAAATATTAACATACAGAGCTACTGCAGCCCGATCTATCATTCGGTATATAGTGTGGTTTTATCTGAAGGAATAGCTCAAGAGCGGTATAAGTAACAGACGCAACTCAAGAACACACGAAGATATCGAAATATTTTGTTCTTTTCAATTAAAAAATATTAAAGTAAACTTTGTTCAAAAAATATTTATTTAAATTCTATTGCAATAAAATACATTTCATTTCTGCGATGTTTTTAATTTTTGCTATCATTTTTACTATCATTTTGTTAATCTTTTTCGTTTAGAAAGATTTCAATTTAGAGAGATAACATAGCGCTGTTTGCCTCTATTAAATATGTTAACTGGGTCACTCACCAAATCACCGCAAAATCACAATGTACACAATATGATGGGTCGGATTGCAGCACTTCTATATGTTAATATTTGTTAATATTTTCTTAAATATATCTTAAATATTTTTTATTGTCAATATACGATATAAATAGACTACAAAAGGATTTTGCATCCAATTAATTTCTATATCAATGACGAGTAAATAATTTTACCGACTTTTCAGAAATTCAAATCTTTCTACCTCCCTTAAGAATGACTTTCAACAAACCTTGATTAAGCTAATCAATGAATAATAATAAAAATTTAATTTAATTTAATTTAATTTTCAGTTCTATAACTCCCCCTTTCATTCTCTCTCTCTCTCTCTCTCTCTTGTTGTTGTTTAACAATAATCCAAAACTTAATAATTTTTATTTAGCTTAGCGAGATAGAGTAGAAGTAATACTTGATTGATGGTTTAAAATTTTAAATTGTCGATTTGCTTAATCGAACTTTGGTAAAAGTCACTCTAAGGATTAGATATTAAATTATGATGAAAAAATATTGTCTCAATCTTAGTTTGTGTTTGTCAAATTCTAATTTTCAATAAATTTATGTGATCTTTACGTGGATATTTTTCTGGGTTAGCATAGACAAGATAGATATCTTTTGTACTTACTTCACTATCTAGTAAAGGACAAATCGTTATTTACGAGTATACAATCGGCGTTATGTATATTGTATTGTATTTCTTAGACAGAGAATTACACGATTTTCAGCGTTATACATAATTTATATAATAACCGTTATACATAACATTATAAACTTAAAAATCGCATAAGTATATAACTCTAATTATAATAATAAAATTATAATGACTCTAATTGTAACAGTTATGATCTTATATGATTATTTTGTTGTTATGTGTATATGTGTAAGGCTGAAAATCGTGTAAATTTCGATCTAAGGAAATAGTACATCAAACATGACGCCATTGGCGCGACTGATGAGAGATATTCTTTTGGTGAATTTTTCCGCATTATGCACACGCCCGACATTGATTGAATAGGATCATTGATTCGTTCGCTCTTAGAATCTGGCGGGAGTGTTGACGTGCACTCGCCGATCTCTCAAACAGGACATAGATTGCAATTGTGTGCGTGATACTCTCTCCTCCTTCTTTGAGCGTTAAAGTGTCATAAGAAAGTAAAGCTGGACTTAACGCTTTATTTATTTACTCACGCGAATGTGTGCGAAATGCTTCGGCAAGAAAATCGAGATGACGTTTTTCAGGATGGAATAGCGATATTTATAGTTAAAGTATTAAGAAAGCCTGGTTAGAGCAATCAGAGGCACCGTCACCGCTTCAATACAAGTCACTCAACAACTGTACTGTGTGGTTGCAGTAACCACATAATTAGTTGTTTCATATTTTATTGTTTAATCTAATTGGTACCATCAGATTTCTGTGTCGACCAATCAGACTGTTGTTTTATTCGTGTATATTTATACACACAATAATTCAAGATTCGACAACTATGGGATCTTAACTTTCCATTTGGATCAATTTGAGAACGTTGAAGCAAGATTAACAACAAGATTAAAAGCGGTTTCAACGAATGAGGGTTCCGGGTTGACTGTCGTTAAAAACGATCGCGTTAAAAATATCGAGAAACGGGAACAAATCTCGGAGAAGTTAAGCGTAACGATAAGATGCGACGTATCGTCGCAGAGATTTCAACGGTCAGATGTGTGAAATTGAAACGCGACACGCGCGAAATTCAGCGACGCGCTCTGAAAAGTATAATCGAAGGAGCGATCGGTCCCTTTTCTCAGGACGCGCGACGATTTTCACGGACTCCGCCTGTTAGCTCTCATTTGTCGTCGCGACTGATGCAAATTCGCTCCACTTTTCGAATTTATCGTCCCTACGATTGGAGCTGACATATTCCACCGGCGTGGAACTAATGCCGTTTTCGTCTGCGTTTAGGAAAAAGCGGCGAGCGGGAGAGCGTATCTCTAACGAGGACCGTGAGAATGTCAGAGACGAAGTGTCTCGTTCCCGGCGAATAATCTCGTCATTTATATCGGACGTCATTCAACTCCCCGGAAGTTCCGCGAGTGCGAAATTATAACGCATCGGGGCGGCGGCGCTACCGCGTGCCGCCGCGCAGCGTGCGGCGATGTATTATTCAAATTCCCGCGGAACAATATGAAACTAATTGTCGCGCCGAATTGGCACGGCTTGACCCATATGTAAATTTGGAGAACACCGCGTGCATTAATTATAGGTTGTACATAGACCCGGCTGTGTGTTCTCTCCGCCGGCGGGGGCTCTGCATTACTAATATCTTAAATCTCCCCCGGATAAAGGTCCAGGACGTACGCTTGAATTATGGCGAAATTAATGGTGCCGTGACAAACATGAAGAAATAACGCTCGGGGGCAGAAATAGATGTTCGAGGTAAATGTTCCCGGCGAGGTGACTTCCGCTAAGCCGTTTCTAAAGCTGAAATATACGTCGTGACGTTGCGCGCGCGTGCCCGTTCGCGACATCATCGCGCTCGCTCTCGCGAAGTCTTTCAGGTAATACCTCGAGAAATCGATTTCGACGTATCGAAATCGGCTGACGCCGCTATGTAGGTTCCTCCGAAAGTAAGTTCCCGCAGGATAGCATTAGGCGCCATGTCACATATCAAAACTGTCGATAGGTCCTCTTAATTTCACGTGTTTAACGACACTTGTTTTTCGACGCGTCAGAAAATATTCGCTCGTTCAGCTGAGTGAGACGTGTTCAGAGTTGAAATTAAAGAAATTAAAGCGTCTCCAGGCATTGGTACAACTCAAATCAGAACGATCCTACATGATCGTCTTAGCGTCAGAAAGCTGTGTTTCTCGTTGGATACCGCACAACTTAACGGAAGCCCAGAAAAAGGCGCGTGTCAAACGGAGCGAAGAGATGCTCGAAAAATGCGATCACGATCCTGAACAGTGGATGACACTGTAACAGGTGACGAATTGTGGATTCACCGCCATGTACCGGAAAGCAAGCGACAATCGAGTGTATGGATGTTCCCAGGCGAGCTACATCCAATAAAAATGAAGCTCAGCCGAAATGTGGAGCAAGAAAATGATTATATCGTTCTTCTTCAAGAAAACCGGCCCCATCTTGTGTCTTAAAATCGTCGTACGGTTAATGCTAAATGATTACACAACAATTTTCCTGCTGACTGTGTTTGAAAAAATTCATCAAAATCGCCGTGAGAAAACAGCCACGCTATCGCCGAGTCGCGCAATCTTTGAATTAGCGATTCGCTAAACTTACTCACACTTTACTTACTCGTTCGGAATTTTTTAACTTCAGTTTTTTAGAAAATACACTTGCTTGAGAGGTGCATTTTTTTCTTTTTGTTCAATATAAAATTTTATACTAAGGCTTATCTACATAAATGATATTATTGTAATTAGTGGATATCACCTCTCCTTGCTAAATTTTCGTTTTCGCGATTTTAACAATTAAATTAAAATAGATCGTTTTGAATATTTATATGAAATAAATAATTGAAATATCGCGAGCATTTGTAGGTTCAAAGTAGTCATTAAAATGAAATCTGTAGAATTAAAAGTTTAAAAGAGAATTTAGCAAGGATAGTCAAAGTCAAGTTTTCATTTAGTTTATAAGCCATCTAAGTAAGCGCAAAATATCCTTGATGAGAGAATGTTAAAGTAGCATAAAAATTTCGGCTTCGGTATATAATTTACTTCTACCTCAACCCCGATGATGTCTTAAATTTCTCCTTCCGATGCATTAGCGTCCAAAATAGTTCAAAGTGTTCAAAGTGTCATTAGAATGAAATCTGTAATACGAAAAGTTTAAGAGAGAAGTTAACAAGCATCAGTATCGTGAAAGTAGGTTTTTATCTAAGCAGACGCAAGCTGTCCTTAAAAGCGTCAAAGTAGCATCAAAATTTCGACTCGGATTTACTCATTCAAGAGCGAACATTTTCAATCTCCCTGCGATTGGCGAGCGGGGCTGAGGCGTCTCTCGTTAGTCGCGCTTCGTTCGACCGGCCGCTTTTCGATTCACCTTCGAGACACACACACACACACACACATTTACAGAAGAACTTACGCTCGTCGCAGAAGGCGCCTTTCCAGCCTGGATTACAGACACAGGATCCTCTGACGCACTGGCCATGCCGATTGCAGTCGGGTACTTGGCAGTCGCCTAGCGGTATATCGCACTCGGCACCTTTCCAACCCTCCTCGCAATGGCACATACCGCCGCCGTATTGTCCATGAGACGAGCACAGAACCGGGCACACGCTTTTGCTGCAATCAGCACCCTGGAATCATCGAGCGAGGTTACGTGTTATAGCTGTAGTATCTGCTACAGAGTGAAATCCCACTAAAATGATGATAGCAACGCTATTATCATATTATACCGTAGTAATACGGAGAAAAATATTTTGCTGTCCCAAACGAAACTTGTCTCCTCTGTGAACGCTTATTATATAACAGAAAACGATTTTCCCGACTAATTTTTTTTACTTGTACGATCATTAATTACAAATACCAGACATTTTTTCTCAGTGCACAAAGACGATACGCGAATGATAATTTGAGGTTTTCGCGGTGATGTCGCTTTTGATTTTCGGCTGAGCTGCTTTTATTGTCGAATTGTTTCTGACGTTTCGTGGACATTTCAAGGAAAGAAGAGCAATCTAATATTCAGGTTTATTATCAAATTGCTCTTTCCTTTGTAAAGCGATGTAAAATATTCGCGAAACGTTAAAAGCGTTTGATTAAAAACCGCAACCACAAGTCGAAAGCCAAAACTAACCCAAAACTAACTTATGCACAAATGGCGTGTAAACTTGAATAATTGAAAAAGTGATCATTTTTAAGCGACGGTATGCAACTTTTTTCATCTGTACGCCCCTCTAATCTGAGTCCTCATCTTTTAGTCGATTTTTTGTCTTCACAGCATTTACTTTTAATCGTTTATTTTTAATTAGGGTTACTAGTCTTCGATAATTTCAAAGTTTCGGTGCTCCGAAAGAAATGTCGAATTTCCGAATTTTGGTAAGCCCAAGTCTTGAAGATATGTCTTCGAAAGTTACAATATTCGCGCTTCGAAGCTTCGAGAAATACAGTCTCGCGAATACAAAGCTTGTTTCTAAGCTTTACTGACAAGCCTAACGGGCCTGTTGTTAAAGTCAATTAGCAGATTCAAACGACGCTTTTAATATTTCAAAAACATCTTGTAAGTTTGACATTTCAAAGCTTCGATATTTTTAAATTTCAAATACTGGGTACCGAGGCCTCAGATCTCCGTACCGTTATTAATTGTATCATTTATTTATTTACCGTATATACGAACCGTATATATCATCAAATTAAATGTTTTCTTATATATTTCTTTCCTTTATATAAGTTTATTCATGTAAGTAAAGGTGCTTTCCTGTCAGTAAATTGCTATCTTTAAGATGTGAAAAAATTCGATCGTCGAAATCTTCGAAAGAGAGCAGCAGAGCCTCAGATGAAATCACCCGAGTGAAACTAACGTTGCGACTTGCGTTCGCCCCGCCGGAACATACCTGATAACCGTCTATGCAGTCGCACTTGCCGAGGTAGCAGGACCCGCGGCCGGAACAGTCGTTAGGACACGTGGTGGAGACGCCCTCGGCTTCCGTTACGACCAACGTGACCTTGTAAGGCTGCAGCTCGTCGTTGTACACGGACAGGAACCAGTCGCCGGTGTCGAAGTACTGCAACAGACTGACGTTTACCTTCAACGGATCGGCTATGGTCCTTTTGATCAGCACGTGCTGATAGGACGTTGGCGATTGAGCGGTGCGTTCGACGCGAGAGTCGCCGCTGGTGGACTTCATAAAGCTGACGGCTTCCGCGGTCGCGTCCCTCTTCAGCCTATGGACGACTCTGCCGCCCTTCACGAACTCCACGAAGTCGTACTGCGTGACGCTGGGCGCGACGTTACGTCTACCGTAAACGGCGAAGTTCGCGCCCCACGGTAGCGTGAGGTTCAATCGGATGAACGCCGGCTGCTTGTTGCGAAACTCGGTGTTCCAGAAGTGATACGGCGGTATCAAGGCGGTATGCGCGACGTTGTACGCCTGTAATTCCAGTACAGCCGGCCATTGCTGGGCGGACTGCTGGATCTGCGGGTCGCTCTGCTGATCGCCGGCGCTGTCCGCGGCGCTCGAGTGCTCCGCCGTACTCGTAGGTAAGGATTCTGCGAAATGCGAATGCGAATGTGTCAGACATCGGGCGATATGTAGACGGCAGAGATCATCGTGGGATTCCTTCGTTAAGGCCGCCGGCTGACCTCGTGGAATTAAGTTTCGATTACTTTATGGCGCTACCCCGATAGAAATGAAAACCATCTTGGGCGTTCGGTCACGAGGTAGCATATTTGTGTCTAACGTCACTGCTAGCCAGTAATCTAATGCTTACTTCTCCCAGTAGCTAGATAATGGCTAGATAAATAGATTAGCTGATGATTAAATAAACCAAATTACAGGTACGAAATGAAAAATCATAACTAGTTGTCAGGTAATGATGTGACAGTCACTTCTGCTTTTTTAATATTTTTATGGAATAACTTACCTTTAATTCTGATTTACTATCTTATTTTTAAATGCTAGTAGCGGTTATATATAGTTGCTAGATTATATATTTAAAAAAAATAGCGCTATATATATACTCTAACATATCTTGACAACGGCTAAGTCACGAAACCGATTTTACATTTCAGTGAATAACGAACTAGTAATAAACTAGAAAATTTAATGTAACTTGTACTATTTAGTTACTAACCTTGACTCAAGGTGGTTATATTTCTATTCGAGTAGTGATACATAAACGAAAAAGAAGATCTGAAATTGTTACTTTGCTGACTTCTATTATCATGCGACAATCAATTATATTTCGAGAATCGATATGTTTATATAAATTTTAGATAATAATCCATTGAACTGAATAATGCAAGTGTGACGGATAAGCGACTGATGAAAAAAAAATATCTTTATACAGCCTCCCTTTCTTCCCTCGTTGCTATATTATTTTTCGAAATAGAGTCTTAAATATAAATAGAGAAGCGTTATTGTGTGTGAGTTCGATATATCAAAAGTTACCATTTTCTTTACATCGTCATGCTTGGAGAAAACAAGTAAGGAAATAAGAGAAGAAAGATGAATAAGGAAGGTAAGTTAGTTTGCAAGAGGTTAACCAATAATTAGTCCAAATAAGAATATTCTCCCAATAATTTATAACTTGTCATTATGATTAGGCGCATTAAAAAAGGATTTATATATTCAGTCACAATATGCTAAAATGATATAACAAAAATATTATAACTTAATGATATACTTAACATATAATCTTAGTCGCAGTCGTTAAAATAAATGGCACCTGGGTAATTCAGACATCTAATCGAATCGATGTTTTCATTGAAGCTTATAAATCTATACGTAGGATTCTACTTAAAAAGGATATATTCTCGTTATCTTTCGCTCACTAAAAAATACAGTCAAACGTTCAAAGAAATTTAAATCGACGACTTCAAGTTGTCTCTCTTTACGTGACGTTACATTACGCATACACAGCTGCGAATCTCTCGGTTAATTTTCAGTGTCAAGCGTGCGCTACATGTAATGCGTGCATCAATCGCTCGATCGTGTTCCCGAAATGGTATGAAACTCGTAATATGAAATCTTTATAGTGGATGATATTTGGAGGTTTGACGATATAGTCCGTACTAGAGGCATTGTAAATGTTCATCCACTCGCTTCCCAAAAGCAATTACCGTGTGACGCTGGAGTATTTACATCATGCAGAGTAGATGCAAATTAATACCGCTCGATATTTACCTTCTGTGGGTATCTGCGTAGATATCGAGTCGTGGATGTGTGCGTTTTCGTGAGTGACAGTCTTGATATCTTGAACCAGATGATGAATGCAGTTAGTACTATCGATCGGACGCATAGAGCTCACTGCTGGAAAAATAAATAAAATGTCCACTTTAAGACACACATCTGTCTTTTTTTGTGTTTTTGGGTGTTTTCAACGCGACTGCCCATGCTATATACTACGGATTAATTTTCATGTGCTTCTTCTCGCTCTTTCCTTTTTCAATCGATATTTATAATTGGAACATAATAACAAAATGTTTGTTATTAGTTTCCGTAGTGTTATTGTTATGTTATATATCGTATTATTATTATTGTCGTCGTTGTTGTTATTATCCGACAACTCAGCATCCCGATCACTCGTTAATATTCAAATAGATATTGTATCTATTGTAATAAAATACCTCGAATAGATAATAATTAAATTCGAATATTTATACATATATATTCCAAGTATAACATGTTTGTGCCGCCGAAGTTTTCCTTGCAATTAATAATAATCATGCGATCTGTATCATGCACCGAGGGGTGCTTCCTGGGCGCAATTTTGGCTTTATGTTAAATCTCGACGCAATAGGAACTAAGATAGCCAAATCAGTTCTTATGATACAATTTATTCCTACTTACGTTTCCGATTTACGTTTTTAGTGTCAAAGTAGGTTGTTTTGAAAAATCCTTTGAATATAATAATTGAAATTTCGAAAATATTTCTAGTTTCAAGACAACATTAAAATTAAATCTATAGAATTAAAGGTTCAAGAGAGGTGTTAACAAATGTAATATTGTCAAAATAGGTTTTTATTAGTCTATAGGCCACCTAAGTAGGCGCAAAGCATACTTCAGAGCGTCAACGTAGCATCGAAATTTCGATTCGGGTTGGAAAATTGTTCAATTCGAATGCGCAAAAAGAAGTGATTTCATATGGTGTTACATACAATCGCGCACAGATATTTGTAATATATGAACGGTATTCTGGGCAAAATAGCATCGCTGTGTGACGCTTTTATAGCATCAGGAATCAGGAAACGGCTTTAGTCTGGAAGCACCCTAATGGGTTCATAAATTCGAACAATCGCTTTCGAATTACGATAGCACACTAGATTTCCCATGACAGCCCGGCTTCCTTGCTTCACTAACTTTTAGAGCAGAGTACCCGTGTAATAAAGTTCAAAAATTTACCGTCTCATTGTTTCGACGATATCATAGTTGTGTCGCATGCACTATACTGCCAAATTAAAAATTTGTCATTGATATAAGTTGTGACGCGCTATCTTACACGACAATAATCTTCTATGAACAGAAACTTCGGTAAAACGATAAAAGATGAGACGATAAAAGACATGAGGTTCACGCGTTGCCTCATGTGAACAGAATTATAAAAAAAATGTTACAGAAACAATGTCTACAAAAGGCGTGACATAAGATACTTAAGCCAAGCGAGAACAACCCCGCATTCCCCCGTAAGAAAACTAATTCATAAAAAGAATTCTAAAAATAATGTTACAAAAAAATAAAGTGAAGAAATTAATGTTCAGAATTTAAAAATTGTACATGTCTATTTCTCCTACGAAGGAAGTGAAATCAAACAGTTGTGCTAACTGATAACGAGAAAATATGTTGCACAAAAAATGGCAGAGGAGCTTCGAAAACGAAACGATAATATTGATGTGCACAGTTTCGAGGTCCTCTGATAGCAAACGATCATAACACGTAAAATTTCGATGAATATCAAAGGCGCTTCAGACCATTCCATTTAATTTGTCGATTCAATTATGTCGATGCCACGTCGGTGATTATCCTCGAGTCTTGGGCCATTTATATTAATGTTTTCTGAACGATAAGTGCAAGTTCGTTGAGTTTAAACACCATGATAAATTCGGCAATAAAACCCTTATCCGCGACGGGATATTGCGGTTTAATTAATTATCTGTCTCGTGCGCCACGAGCGCCACGAATTAATTACGCGGTTTAACGAGAGTTTTTAAAAAGGGGGTAGAGCGCCCCGCAACGCAATCCGCCTAACGACCTCTTGGCTTATCAAGCAACAAAACAGCGATAACGCATAATTGAATTCGCGTATTATTGCCGTGCGAGTGATTTGACAAATCGCAATTCGCCGATACACTCGGCGCCAGTATTTAATGAACGCGTTTTCGCACTGTGCGATTTATTGCGTCGCGAATTGTATAAGTTTCCCATCTCAATAACAAACACTCATTATCGCTCGTTCTATTCTATTTCTCGTACTACTTCTAGTGGGAAATTGCTGTTATCGCGGATCATCATCGTATTATTTCTCACAAATATGCGGAGAAAGGTCGAGCAAAATCGAGATGGGAAAACAAAAACGGAACCATTGGCGATATTTATTCGCGCATGAGAAAGAAGTATCCCTTTTAAATAGTAGCATATCACTTTTAAATTATTTAAGATTCCTTTTACTACACAGGATATTTCTTAAATACCTAAGTCTAACATTTCAATACTTCAGGAATTCATTTTTGAGATCATTTTTGGAAAAAAAGTTCGTACAAACACATAGTCTCAAAAGCCTTATTTCAAAGATATGTAAGATGCTGAAAATTCGATAAAATTATCGTTTCTCCTTCAATGGCTTTTCGTCTTTAACACGCACACTCCTAAATTTCGCAATAATGTCAACCTTGACTTTTCGAATCGATAGCTTCGCAGTAGACATTAATCGCTGACAAGTTTTCTCGAGATAAAGTTACGTTATACGTCTAATAACGAGATATGAACAGAATATACGTTCACAAATGTAAATGTGTGCCTGTTATTGCGCACACCGCGCCAGCAAGTATGTGTACATGTACACACGCATGTCAGTTCGCGAAAATAGATGAAATGACCGGAAAAAAGCGACTATTCCTTCGGGATCGACATTGCTCGGCCGCCTTGTAACTATCGCTGAAATTGAGTTGCAGTGAACTGTGAATGACCTTATTCGCGTATACTCAGCGTGGCATCGTTTTCGTTCTCGCTTCACGTCGTCGCAGTTTATCGCTCCAGTTTTCCACGTATCTTGTAACTACATACTCGGTGTGTGATTGCTCATACCGAGGAAACCCGGAAGACCGTGCGGTATCTTCGAGGCGTCGACGCCGAATATCGAATTAAAGAGAGAAGTAATCATCTCATATCGACGGCTAAGGAGCGATACCTCGTACACTCAGAAAGAATTAGCAATAGAAGCTGAAATATAGCAGTGACAGCTAAAATGTGACTTTGAAATTAGGAGTAGCTAATGTCGTTGCTACTACAGCTAATTAGCTGTTTGAATTTAGATGCTACAGCAAAAAGTATCAGCTAGATCGTACTACAATTATATTCACATTCCCGATAGAAATATATTGTTTTTTCTTTTTTTTTTTTTAACAGAAGCTGTCTTTAAAGGGTTATTCAATAATTATGTCACGCTAAATTTAAATATTTTTTTACCACTCTCTCCCCTTCGTTACAAAATATTTGCCTTCTTCTAATATTACGACGTGTACAATATTATGTGTGAAATTACCCTTCTCGTCGACATATAGAATAAAAAAAAATAGTTTATAATCATATTATGTGGATAATAATTATTATAGACTACACGCTATCTTTTCATAAAATATAAATAATTCTTAGGCGTATATCAAATTAATTATATTATTTTGTAAGTTTGATTAGTAAAAGTTGTATTTTAAAGAAATAAATATTAAAAAGTTAATATTTTGTTTGAACATAAAACCATGTCAAAACTTAAGAATGACCGAATCCATATTTACAAGTTATGCCATTTATTATGACTATTTTTCTGAATCATTTTTCTGAGTGTATGCGCTAAATCGGGAGATTTCAGGAGAAATAAAACTGTTTTGCAAATCCACTTTGCTTCGGACGATTCAAAAATACGAGATGCCACTTCTATCGAGTCTTCTGACAAATAATTTTGTTTTTATATGAATCAGTTTTTAGATACAAGTTTTCTCACAAGTCGAGAAAAAATGTCCAAGTTCGCTGAATCACAGATTTGAAAGTGATCATTTTTACAGATTCGAAGTGTCTCTTCTTATCAATATATCGCAGACGAATGAGTTGAGACGAAGAAGAAGAGTTAATCTTCGATGTAATGTAATCTCTCGCGTATTTAGTGTGACTTTCCATTTTTCAATTCGAGTTATTGATATACTCAATTACAGAGATACGTGAAAGCGAAGAAAAAGCGAGTCGCGCGCAAAACGCAGAGTTTGCACTTCGAATCCCCAACGACTCGATTCGTCGTCGCGCGCAATTTTGTCAGTATTCCGCGTGTTTACTCGTATAACGATATCGCGCGAGAAGGCCATTTCCAATATACGTATGCGAAGAAAGCGAGACCGACTATTTCCGGCGACGAGCTACGGAAAATTTGAAATGGCCATAACGCGAACTCTCTGAAAAAGGGTCGTTGCACCGCGCAACCTACCCTTTGCGATGAGGAAGACAAGCGCGACCGTGAAGCGGAACAGCGAGTACGCTCACGAAGCGCGCAAAGGAATAACTTTTTCAATTATACATCCTCAGATCGATAGAGCAATTCATTCTCGAGCAATGATTCCCGGATTATCGTCGGATTATCCCACCACACCCGTCGGTCGGGCCGACTCGTACGTAATAATGAAATGTTTACAATCGATCCGTCTATCCTTTCGTCCCAATCCGTCCGAGCACGAGTATAGACGCGACGGCGTTATCGAGCTGCCTACGATGTCTCTATTATTGACGAGTTAACTGCTAATGACGTAGTAACGACGTTCCTTTACGACAGGAAACAAGCGAATGAATCGAACTGTATTTTCATTACGATACATCGATACTTCGGCATTGTAGTCAAAAGGTTTCGGTAAATGAAGCTTCGGAGGTGACCGCATTCTGAAAACCAAATGACTGCGCGAGAGTAAAAAAATCTTACCCGTACTTTTCGAATAACGAGCGCGGTAAACGAAAAAAGATGTTCCATGACTTTTTCTTCAACCTCGTGATCGCTCGTCGAGAGTTGAAGTTTCAAAGTTTCAAGAAATATAATACGGGACGAAGAGACAAAATTA